AGGTACAGCTATGGGCTTGAACTTGCCAGGTTCTAGACCCCCATTATCCTATTGTGGGTATATGCTTCCCAACACGGGCACACAACCTTTACCCTCATGGTCTCAGCCACCTTGGCCACAGTCTTACCCTTATGGTGGGTTTATGCCAAACCAACCTGGTTTTTGGCCTTATAGGGACAATTTCTATGGTCCCCCTTCTGGGGTAGCTACTGCACCACCTTTAGCTCCTGCTCCACCCGTAGCAGTATCTTTGACTCCTGCAGTAGCTCCTTCTACCACCGTACCTGACTCTCGAGCTCAATCTTCTAGCTCTTCTCATGGTACTCAGGGTTCTGATCATGCATCATCTTTGGATGGTTTTCAGAAGTTGCTTTTGGACTTTGGTGAGTCTTTCAAGGCTGAATTTAGTACTCTATCCAGTCGTATGTCTCTACTGGAGAATAGAGTTTCTTCTCATCAACCTTCTCCAGCTAAGTCTGTAGAATGTGATGAGAGGGAGGATGACGAGCTTTCTGTTTCCCCTGGGAGTCATGAAAGGGCTTTCCTCACTGATGAGGATGTTGAAAGTTCTTCTTCTCCCAAGGTATCGAAGACGGCACCTGAGCCTTCTTCTAAGTCAGCTCAACAACCTCCCACCAAGGAGACTGAGGATCCTCCATCCTTGAAGGATCTTAGGGATAAGGTGTATACCTTGATGAGGGATGAAGCACATATCCCTTTTGCCTCTCCTTCCAAGCCGAAGAAACCTTCTTCAACTTTTGAAGCTTCCTGTGGTATTTCTCAGGATACTGTGACTTCTCACAATTCTTTTCCTGAATCTGGCCATATGGCATTTGCTTTACAATTTATTAATGAAGGTATCGCTAATTCTGCTAGTGAAAAGGTTGCTAATAACAATATCTCTGGATTTGGAATGTCATCCTTTTCTGATCAGGTTAAGTACAAGGATTTTGATATCTTCGATTCTTCACTGGGTAGACTTGTTCCCAGTTGTGACAAATCTATGTCATCTTTATTGGGAAAAAAGCCAGTAGATGGTCTTCGTCTCACTCAACCTGTTTGGTCAAAGACTGAGAATCTCCTTCGTAGTGCTTCTCAAGTTCTTGGCACAGCCGAACATTTTCTAGCTGCAACCGGACATTTGCTTAACAGCGAAGATTCGGTTGTTCCAGCAGAAGTACGATCCTTCTTACTTCAACTGGATAAAGCTCTAGGTTCATCTCAGTTGCTTTTAATGGGTTCTATTGCTAATTTCACCCTATCTAAAAGAGCAGAGTTTCTTGAAAACATTTCTGTTGCTGAGCCTTTGAAAGATTCTTTACTGAAATCTCCACTTACTGACAAGATGTTTGGTTTACCCTTACAGCGGGTTCAAGAGGAACTCAGCAAAAACCCTCCTCCAGTTAAAGTTAGTGTACAAGTTACTAATGGCAAGAGGTCGGTTAATGCTACATCTAGTTCTACTAGTACTTCTGCTTCAGGTGGTCCTCCTTCTTCTGCTAAGAAAAGGAAGAATAACTACGGCAAACCGCAGAACAAACCCAATAACTCCGGAAAAAGCTCAGGTAAGCCTTCTGGTGGTTTTAAGGGTCCCAAGAAACCTGGGTCTAGTACCTAGGTTCTTGCCCCCTCGTACGTTATTGACAGCTTCCCCAGGGGAAAATTTACAACAAGTTCCTCAAAAATCAATACCAGTAGGGGGGAGGTTAAGTTTTTTCCTAAATCAGTGGAAGAAAATTACCTCAGACTGTTATGTGCTGTCAATAATTCGAGGGGGATTAACACTTCAGTTCAAGAACCCACCTCCTCTGTCTGCAGTTCCGATAAGTTTGTCTCATACTCAAGACCCAGTCAAGTATCAACTTCTATCAGTAGAAGTGGACACAATGTTACAAAAATCTGCAATAGAGGAGGTGTCGCTCTTAACTCTGTCTCCGGGATTTTATTCCCGTCTTTTTCTGGTTCCAAAGAAGACTGGAGGAATGAGGCCGGTCATAGACCTATCTATTCTGAACAACTTTCTTATTGTTCCCCATTTCAAAATGGAAACCAACAGATCAATCAGGGCTTCAATCCTTCCAGGAATGTGGACTACTTCTCTGGATCTTTCAGATGCTTATTTCCACATTCCCATTTCCCATACTTACAGGAAATACCTTCGCTTCGTTTGGAACAACAAAGTTTTCCAGTTCAAGGCTCTCCCTTTTGGCCTGTCTACAGCCCCTTTGGCTTTTACCAAAATCATGCAGGCAGCTATAGCTCACCTACATTCCCTGTCTATTCAGATTCATTCCTACCTGGACGATTCCCTTCTCAAGGAATTTTGCCCAATCAAATTGAGAGTTCAGACAGATTTGGTCATCAATTGTTTTCTGTCCCTAGGCTTCCTAATCTCTTGGAAAAAGTCAGAGATAATTCCTTCTCAAGACTTTGTTTTCCTGGGAGAACATTTCCTAACCAGTGTAGGCCTAGTCCTCCCACCAGAGGAAAAATTTACAAAACTATGTCAGAAAATACATTTATTCCTGACGGTTCAATCAGTCACAGCACGTCAATTCTTGCAACTTCTGGGTCTATTGAACTCACTGGCAGATGTAATTCCATTGGGACGACTTCACATTCGTCCGCTTCAGTTTTATCTGCACAAGTTATGGATTCCAGCTTCACAAGAATGGGAAGCATTGATTCCAATCACTCAGCCTTTATTTCCACACCTTCAATGGTGGTTAGTACGGGAAAATGTAATGAGGGGCCTATGTCTGTCCCCTCAAGTTCCCAGTCTAACATTATTCACAGATGCCTCCACCCTCGGTTGGGGAGCATATCTGGAGGGGCTTACAATCTCGGGAGTCTGGAATCCAGATCTTTTAGAAGAGCATATCAATGTATTGGAAATGAAAGCAGTTCTGTTTGCACTGAATCATTTCCAAATGTCTCTAAAGAACCAGTCTGTCATTCTGGCCACGGACAACACAACAGTTGTAGCTTATCTCAAGAATCAGGGAGGAACTCATTCACCTTCTCTTTATCAGATAGCCAGAGACATTCTCCTTCTGTGTTTTCAACTCCAGGTTCATCTAGTGGTGAGACATATTGCGGGGCACCTCAATATTCTAGCCGACACTCTATCCAGATCCCTTGCTCCAGTAAACACGGAGTGGGAACTACTTCAAGTAGTTTTCAAAGCTGTGACTCTTCATTGGGGGTCACCTCAGATAGATCTGTTTGCGACCAGTCTCAATCACAAACTTCTAACATTTGTGTCTCCGGTTCCAGATCCAAAATCTTTTGCGGTAGACGCAATGAGCCTATCTTGGAAAGGAATGTTCGGGTACGCCTTCCCTCCTTTCAGGTTTCTCTCCCCAGTACTTCAGAAAATAGCAGGGGAAAATTGCAAGATCATAGTTATTGCTCCAGCATGGCCGAAACAGTCTTGGTTTCCAGACCTTCTGCGCCTATCATGTGCTTGTCCTCTAGTTCTACCTCTGAGACCAGACCTTCTGTCTCAAATCAAGGGCAAGGTTCTTTATCAAAATCCAGAAAAACTTCATCTACACGCCTGGCTTCTCTCAGGGTTAGCCTCAGAAAGAGAGGTTTTTCTGAGGGAGCAACCAAGCATCTCACAAAGTCTGTCAGAGACTCCACTAGCATTGTCTATGATGCAAAATGGTCAATCTTCTCAGATTGGTGTAGTGAGCGGGAAATTGATCCTTTCCAAGTCACTGTACAACAATTAGCAGACTTTCTAGTTTTTCTTTTTGAATCCAAAGGATTATGTCCCTCTACTATTAAGGGATATAGATCAGCTATTTCAAGAACTATTCATATTTCTGGTGGCCCAGATTTTGGAAACAATGAGCATATTTCTCTTTTGGTTCGTAGTTTTAGTCTTGAAAGACCAAGACAAAAAACTTTAGTTCCTAAGTGGGACCTTGGACTAGTTTTATCCTTTTTAAAACTTCCTCCTTTTGAACCAGCAGAAACAATAGATTTAAGGTTTCTTTCCTATAAATGCTGTTTTCTTTTAGCTTTGGCTTCTGGACGGAGAAGGAGTGAAATCCATGCCTTCTCTATTTCTGATGCTTGCCTTCGATTTAACAGGGATAAATCTTCTGTTACTCTTTTAACGGATCCTGCTTTTTTGGCAAAGAATCAGATTCCAGATAAGGGTGCAGAATCAGTCGTGATTCCTGCACTCCCTAGCGATTCTATTTCTGTACTTTTATGTCCAGTAAGAATCCTTTCTATTTATCTGGATAGAACGAGTAGTTTACGTTCTGTTTCTAACTCAAGACTCTTTATTCCTATTAAAAAAGGAATCTCAGATCTTTCTGTTAAAACTATTTCTACTTGGATATGCAAATGCATATCTTTAGCTTATGGTTCTTCTAAGTCAGAACTTTTAAATAGTTTTAATGTTAAAGCTCATGATGTTAGGGGTATCTCTACATCCTGGGCTCTGTTTAACAGTGCATCTTTAGAAGAGGTACTGTCTGCAGGTTTCTGGAGAAATGAGAACTCTTTTATATCTCATTACCTCCAATCTATGGCTACTTTTGCCGAGAGTTTATACTCTCTTGGACCTATAGTTTCAGCACAAAGATTGAACTTTCCTCCTGTTTCTTCTGTTACAGGGGATTCAGCTTTACGTTAGATTCTGTTACTCAGAATTTATGATGGTAACGTATTTATAGCTATAAAATATTCAAATTTTAAAGTAAATTTGGATTTTATTAGATAAATACTTACCATCATAAATTATAGGTCCCACCCACCTCCCCTTCATCCCCTTTCCCTACGTTTCTGTCTTGAGGAAATTGAATGGGAGAATATGGGCAAACAGGGGTATATGTCCGGACCAGTGAGAGTACGTTTATTTTTAGTCGGGATTTTCCATCTGACCTATGACGCAATTGGGGTTACACTCAGAATTTATGATGGTAAGTATTTATCTAATAAAATCCAAATTTACTTTAAAATTTGAATAATTCAGCTGATACACATTTCAAACGTCTTTGTTTCATGTCCTCTCCGTCAAAAGTTTCTAATTATATGAATTATTCGCAGTTTCCGGTTATTTCTCCACGAAATGAAAATAGACAAAACAATTTGAACTGTTGTTTTATTTTTGCACAACACATTTTCTTTAACATTTTATTTTGAAAAATGTTGGAAGGCTTATTTGGAGAAGAAGATTTAACCTCTTCGAAAATATCCGAGCCTTCCAAACCTGGAATACAGTCACCACCAAGACCACGTTATCAGTGTGGTCTAGCAGGAATTAGTAACCAAGGAGCCACATGTTATCTTAATTCTCTGCTGCAAACCTTACTATACACTCCAGAATTTCGTGGTGAGAATTGGATAACGAAAAATAAATAGCAAAATTCAAATTTCATCTTTTGTCAGGATATACAGCATGTACAGTACATGTATATAAAAGAACGAAATGAAAATCAATCACAGTCTGTCCTTTCTGTTTGACATGTTTGATGTATCTTTACCAGGGCTTTTTCCTGCATATATATTTGATGGCAAGATTATACACCATTCCTAATGAAAAAAATGTTTTCCCTTATCTGCGTTACAAATTATTCCCATTATGATAAAGATTGTTATTTTTCAACTTGTACAAAATCCAGACACAAGTTTCCACTTCCCAAAAACAATATTTGATGTGGCCTAAAATACATGTAGTCAATTTTGATATAAAATAAGATTGCAAAATTGTGTGTTGCATGTATATAACAGGGTGCTTCTTTCAAACAAAATGAGTTATGTATAAAAATAAGATGTGGTATGATTGCCAATGAGACAACTCTCCACAAGAGACCAAATTACACAGAAATTAACAACTATAGGTCGTTGTTCGGCCTTCAACAATGAGTAAAACCCAAACTCAAGATATTATGTCAGATAGAGTTGTTATAGTTCCAGGGGGAAAATGCAAAACTACTATAAAACTTAATCTGCATTTAATGAAAATAACACTAAATGAGTTGGGTGCATCTGAAGTGCTTTTCTGAATATACCTTTTTTACTACTAAAAGTTTTTGCTGGATGTTTTACAAGTCATAAATGCTCAAACCTAACAAGGTGAAAGCCATAGATGCATGTATAAGTACCACTGTCTCTAACTGAATACATATGGAGTTTATTATTTAATGTACTTTCAGAATCATTATTTGACTTGACAGAACATGAGCTAGGAAGTTTTGATAGTAAAGATATTCCTGGGAAAAAGGTATAAATGATATGATTTTCTTGAATGTAACTTTTTTATGCATATCTTATAAATCATTTAATACATTTAAATACATATTTAAAGTAGCATTGCAAACAATGTTTTGGGGGTGGTAAATTACTGCAAATTATTCATTACCTTATATAACTTGCCAATACTATACAAAGGATATACAGTCTCAAGGGTTTGTTTTAACATGTTTTAAGCAAAGGAAAATATTAAGACTAGGATTAAGAGGGGACACAGAAAAAGTCTGTTTATAGTACAGGTTGTTTTAACCTGCCCTTTGCAATACAATTAATTTATAAGGACATAGAAATGCTGGGGCATCCATCTTATCTTGTAACTTGTAGGTGCTTTCATGCCTACATTTCATCTCAAATGTCTAAGACATTTGTATCAAAGTGTTTAATCAGCAATGTCCTAGAAACTTTCAAAAGTCATTGCTGATCAACTATTTATATTGGAGATATGTCACTTGCCTTGGAAATGTAATTAATGTGGATTTCTTTTAGACACTCTCACCCTACATTTTTGTCAGATTTTTATTAAATTAAAATCAGAAGTTTATTTAGCAATGTCTTGGATAAACTCCATAATCAGCACCATTCAACTATTTTTACAAGAGGTATGTCACTTTGAAATGAAATTACATGTATATGGAAAATTTTAAGTGCTCCCTTGCCTACATTTTTTTCACATTTAAAAAAAAATATATTGAAGGTTAATATAAGCAATATTTTGGTAGCCTGAATGTTCTATGCATTTGAAATATTGGACAAATTATTAGAGTTTTTGCCCTTGGACAGATATAATATATGCTGTGGTGGAGGCATATTTTTTACTGTGAACAAAAGTCAGTGGTTTTCTCTGGGCACTCCAGCTTCCTCCGCCAATAAAAACTGACTGCCACAAAATAGTACAATAGTGCTGAAAGTGGCGTAAACACCAATCAATCAATCAATTTTTGCTGTGACAAATTATAATGATTAAAAACTCAAGTCAATATTATATAGGTATACATAAGTACTATCAGTATGTGGATTTACATTGTAGGCTAGAGTGATACCATTACAATTACAGAAATTGTTTACAAGATTATTACTGAGTAATCAACAAAGTATATCTACAACAGAGCTGACTGATAGTTTTGGATGGAATAACAAAGAGGTGTGTGATTATTCTGTGTAGTCATTTAGTAATGGTATATTGCTTATAGGTTGACAAAGTATTTTGTCATGAGACTGAATAATTTCAATCACCTTACTTCATTGACTCATGGGGAAATGTATACTACAGGAAACTAGCTAAGGTAGCTACAGCTGTTGATTGAATATTGCTGCTCAAGAAACAAAACAAAAATCAAAAACAGCATGTCTAACAGGTTTCAAGAAGTCCCATCATAAAATCTGATTGAATCAGCAGTATTTGTGAAAACCCTGTAGAAATAAAAAATCATCAGACCATTGGAAGAAAGAACCATTGTTACTGAATTAAAGTATATTACATTTGTAGCCCTTGGTTTTGATAGATGTAAGAACTTTCCCCAGTTTAGATATATCATTTTCAATGTTTTAGTTCTATTAAAAACATTACAATAAAAGGTAGGATGAGAAATACTGTCTATTTTTTTTAAGAGAAACATAATATTTACAGATATGATGTTGATAATACTGTAATTTTGTTTTAAGTACAAAAAAATGTATACAAAAGTCTGTGGTATCTGTAATCTTGGAAAATTAACTTTTCTGTCCTCTCAGTATCTTAAAAATTTAGTTTATTTCTTATCTCCTGTTCTTTAAGGATAAATCAAGATTAAACATAAACCTGGAAATTTCTTTTAATCAGGAATTACAACAACATGATGTGCAGGAACTTAATCGTATCTTGTTTAGTGCTGTGGAAGCTTCATTAGTAGGGACTTCAGGAAAGGACTTGATAAACAGACTTTACCATGGAACACTTGTCAATCAGGTAATGAGCAGACTTTGCTATGGAACACTTGTCAATCAGGTAATAAACAGACTTTACTATGGAACACTTGTCATTCAGGTAATAAACAGACTTTACTATGGAACACTTGTCATTCAGGTAATAAACAGACTTTACTATGGAACACTTGTCAATCAAATAATGAGCAGACTTACCATGGAACGCTTGTGGATCAGGTAATGAGCAGACTTTACCATGGAACACTTGTCAATCAGGTAATGAGCAGACTTTACTATGGAACACTTGTCAATCAGGTAATAAACAGACTTTACTATGGAACACTTGTCAATCAGGTTATAAACAGACTTTATTATGGAACACTTGTCAATCAAATAATGAGCAGACTTACCATGGAACACTCATTAAAGAGGTGAAATTCAAATCCACAAATGACAATAAGCCACCATTTTGAATTGCTGGAATTCACAAATATGCGATTAATACAATGTAATCGAAATACAACAATTCCTACCTCAAAAATGCCTTTTTAATGAGATATTATATGTTACATGATTCGTACAAGTAAGGAAATAATCTTCAGGCTTGAAATTTCCATTTGAATGATGTCAATTCTTGCCATAACGTTTATGCTCCAAAATCATTCGATAAATTTTATTCGTTCTTAAATTTATACATTTTTACAAGCCCTTATGGACTATTTCAATTGCCTCCTCTACATGTCGCCAGTAAAACTGTATTTGTGACGATCAAGTGCCCAATTGATTGGGACAACATTTCAACTACAGAATTGTCATTCCTTCAATATGCTATTATTTTATATCATTCTACAATTGAAACAAGACGACATTGAAAAAACACCAGACCAACCTTCAAAACAGTATGAATAGTGTTAGTTTACTGAATGAACTAATCGAACAAACCATCATTTTGCAAAAAATTAATATAAAATTGTCTATAGCCATTTATTATTCAGGTTTTTGAGAGTAATCTGGTTATTTAAATGTCAAAGTACGGTGGGTGGGTGGGGAGTTTCAACCAATACTTGTCTAATTTTAATGTGTTGCTTCTGATGACAAAATTGAAGTCAAGTTCAAATTTAACATTTTATCTACAATGTATTACCTTTCAAGAGTTATGATCCTTGATAGATTGGAAAATGGCACTTTATGTTGCTTCTTTGAATAACATGTGAACCATTCAACCAATGCTTTTCAAATTTTGATATGTTGTTACTCATGACAAAATAGAGTTCAAATAAGATATTGACCATTTTATCATTCAGGAGAAATGGTCATGAAAATTTTTAAAATATACGCAGAATGAGGTAGGTTGAACAAGCCTGAAAGCACCTTCAAAATACAGAAAACCTGGTTTGCTGTCAATTTGATAGCTAATTTCTTGTAAATGAAAAAGCATGCACTTAAAAAATAGTCTGAAGTAAAAAATTGCATTTTATATTTATAGAGTACATTTTTTTATTTACATTTTTTTTCATATTCAAACATTGGTAAACAGATAATTTTATGTTCTTCAATTTCATCATAGAGCTTAGAAAATGTATCTATTTAAAAAAAAGCAATATAATAAGGAGGATGTCAAATTTCATGGTTAAAGTAAAAGAAAGAAGACCTATCCTAAATCTTTACAGTATGTTCTTACACAATGATAAAACATGTTTGTTCAAATCAAATTGGCTCTTTTTACAAATGGAATAGATTTTATATTTAGACTAAATCTTGGGTAATAAATGTTGTTTTCTCTCATTTATAATGTTTTCATAGTATCTTTTTATGCTATTTTTGTCATTTAATGGCACACAATCTTCTCATGTAAAATATGAAATTATCAAAATACTATTTACATTATAGATCATTTGCTCTGTGTGTGGAAAAGTTAGTGAAAGAGAGGTAAGATAATAAACAAGATATAATAAGTTCAATGATTTCTGATACACATCAAGTCAAGGTAACCAGTAAAAATATTAATTCATACCAGTATGGAAAACAATTTTTTTTTTTTAATTTGTTTAAAACATCTTGAGGTTGAGTCAGAAAGGAAATATTCACTGAGCTTCATATGACCAAAGTTTGTTATTTACAAATATTTGATGTAACTCCATATAAATAGAATAATATGAAAGTATCTTGTCATCTAACAGATGTATATCATCTCACTTCTGAAATCTGTTAATATACAATTTTTTTTACTTTTTTTTAAAATTTGGATAGGCCTGTGATACTAATGTGTAAGATACTGATTTATGATTGTGGGATGTAAATTATCAATATTTGTAATTTTAGGAGGATTATTTAGATTTAACATTAACAGTTGCTGGCAACAATAGTTTGGAAGAAGCTCTTTGTGGTAGCTTTGTTGATATGGAAAGTATGGATGGTAAAAACCAATACAAATGTGAATCTTGTAACAAACTTGTCAATGCTAAAAAGGTAAATAACTAAGACTATTTACTCAGGATCTTTGAGGTCTTTGCTATATCACAGGTTAAGAACATTGTAAAGCTGAGGTAGTCTGACGTTCACCTCATGCCTTTAACGTGTGAGGTTGCTGGTTAAATCTACATATAATCAGTGTTTAGACTGTTAATATTGCTAATATTGCTGAATTAGGTGTTGAAATAGGTATTTACTGATTCTCTACTAAGCATGCATCATTTGTGAATAAAAGCATGAAAGGTACTATGTTTTCTTGTGGACTTTTATCTTATTAGAAAGATTTGTATGCTCTTGTCGATCATGAGATAGTATCCAGAATTAAATTTTGTAAAAAAAAAAATCCTATTTATCTGTATTTTACTTATAAATGGACTTAGTTTTTCTGCCAGTTAACATTACATTCACTCTGTGGTTATGGTTTTAAAAATTTTAATAACTTTCTTAAACTATCCTGGATTTCTACCAAACTTGGACAGCAGCTTGTTTATGATGAAAAGCTAGTATCTAGAAGGAAATTTTGTAAAAATTTATTTCCTGTTTTTCTGTATATTACTTATAAATGGACTTAGTTTTTCTTCCACTAAACATTACATATAGTCTGCAATTAAAGTTTTTAAAACATTTATTAGATTCATAAACCATCCTGGATTTTTACCAAACTTGGACAGAAGCTTCTTACAATCAACGTTTTATTTCATTAAGTGTAAATCTATTATGTGCATTCCCCTATCACACTGAAAACATAGACAACAGCAAAAGTAGGCGAGACACTGGGTTCTGCATAACCCTTACGAATTTTTAACTTGGAAAATTGCAAAGCCTGAGCGGGGCCATTTGTGTCCTCAGACACATTCTTCTTTATATTTAGAATGAAACTCGAGTAAAATTGTAGCACAAAGTATTTTATTTCCATGTTATATTTATATGTTATACTCAGGAGTGTGTATTTTATATTCCCTACCATATGTGTTCTGTTAATCATACTGTTAATTTTTATGTTATTTTAGGGAGCCAAATTAAGAAGTTTACCAGAAATTCTGTCTATCTCTTTTCTAAGATTTAGTTTTGACTACCAAAAGATGGAAAGATACAAGGTAATATATAGAGAGATAAACAGTAAAACCAGCAAAAATGAACTCTATTGTAGAGAATGGTTACAAATAAGTCAACATACAAATCGATCATTCTGAATATATATAAACTATAATAAATGACTATTGTGTCTCTAAGCATTTCAGACATGTATTTATTTTTGAAATGGTTTCTACATAACTTCAGTAATTTAAGCATTGAATGAAATATTACTCTTGTAAAAGATTAATTCTCACCAGATTTATCAGGTTTTTAATTCAGAAAATAAATTTTATTTTTCAGGAGGCAGGAAGACTGGTTTTCCCACATACCATTGACATGGCTCCATATTGTGAAAAGGTATCATTATGTTATAAGGGACATAACTTTCCATTGATTATATATATATTTTTTATTGGAAAATTTTGTTAAACACACAATTAGTTTAATCAAATACAAATTTTGTCCTTTTTGAAAAAATTTTAAGGGAACAACTAACAATTTATTGATTATTGTCAAAAAATTTAAATGATTCTTGTATTTAAAACATTTATCTCTTTATTTCTTACTGGTAAGACTATATTTGTTGGGCTAGATAGCTGATAAACCCCTACCAATTGCCTACAGAGGTCACTACAGTTTCTTTTTAAAGGACTACCTTTAATCCCTGGATAGAGTTTAGAATCATTTAAGATATTTTAAGGGTTATGTTTTACTGCAATTAGGCTAATTTAATTTAAAATGATTGTTAATTTATGTACTTGATATATTTCCCTACCGTAAAAGCTTTTATGAGACACCATAGATCACATGTTCTATCTTTGACACCATAGATCACATGTTCTATCTTTGACACCATAGATCACATGTTCTATCTTTGACACCATAGATCACATGTTCTATCTTTAACACCATAGATCACATGTTCTATCTTTAAATGTTTAATGAGACACCATAGATTACATGTTCTATCTTAAATGTTTATATTTTAATAGATTAGAGTGAGCTGTGTGAAATTGTGTTGTGCTCTAAATATATAACATTAACTTATGTAAGAACTATGAATAAAACAGAAACGAGTAAACATCTATGAGACAGCAATCCAGCAAGCATCAGTAATGTACAAGCACCCACACCATAAACTAAATTATGTATCACACTGAGTCTAAACCTGTGAAAAAATCAACAAGGATTTTTGTTTTCAGGAAGATCATTCTTCAGAGTATGAGTTGTTTTCTGTTGTGATTCACAAAGGAGGAGCCTATGGTGGCCATTACCATGCATTTATAAAGGATGTAGACTCTCTTGGGAAGTGGACTCACCCAGTTAGTAGGAGTTACAATAGTTTGTAAATCTGTAGAATGGGAAAACACCATCAAGCAAAAATTCTGTTGCTTATTATTGATGATTGTTATGAACAAGCTCTTTTGATATGGAACTTTGTCATTAATAACACTATACAAAATCATTAGTTGTAGTATTTTTCAATTTCAACAGACACTTAAGAAATTCTAATTCTAAGAGTTCCTTGAAGGTATTGTTTTACATACAATTCAAAGGGTGTCATATGAAAATGTTTTGGATAACCCGACATAAATACAAGTAAAAATGGTGTAAATTAAATAGGAGGGATACCAACATAGACAAGTAATGTAGAAAAAAATAAGTAAAAATATAGATTCATCTGTTGCAAATGAAGAAATATTGTAAGTCATTGGAATTTGTTTCTACCTTAGGGTTGGTTGGTCATGTGTAAAAACATCTGCTTGAATAGGGAAATGTAGCGACCACTAATATGACATCATAATGAATAAGCTACCCATCACACAACACCCGAAATTATCATTTCATTGCACAAGACACTTGCAGTCACATTTGGTTTAATGCTAAACCACTTGGCTGAGTGTCATATAAAAGCAAATAAAATAGGGAGAAATTTTTTTTACCCTTTTAAAAATCTGAGTTAATGAGGGGGATTTATAAATAGAATTACTTCATAATAGGATGGTAATAGAAAATTCAAATGAATTCAAACTAAATGAAAATGGCAGCATTAATCCTATTGATCTGCGAGAGTTAATAATGCTGTTGTTTACAAACAAAATCACATTTTGATTTATCCACCTTTTTACAATACAATTACAGGTGTACAGAACACACAAGGCAATATACATATATAGTCTCCTGATATCCTCGTCTGTTGCTAGCCTTGCTTTTCTTACTGTTTCTGTAGGTTGTACAAAAGTTTTTTATATTTCTTGTGATGTACAAATATAGAATATTTCTTTAAATATTAGGATGAAGAAATTATCCAGCTTCCAACAGACCCAAGTACTGGTGAAGTTGACTACATTGAGGTAGACTCCCCTGTAGAGCTGATACAAGCCATTCTTGTCAGAAATCCTGTCCTCACTATAGACAAACTGTGTGCTGTAAGTCATAGTACCTTAAGTCAGATTTCTTCTAAAACTAAGCTATGCTATTCTTGTCAGGATTTGTACTACAAGTGTCAATTTATAATTTAAAATACTTATGTTTAGATGTAAATTGTATTGGTACTAGTTGTATTTTATGACATTGTCTATGCAATGTAAAATCTGTTTTTGGATGGTAAGATTTCATGTTTTAGAGTAAAATAGAAAAAAAAGTATAATACACATCTTGCAATTATTCCACCTCTAAGATACTGTTCATTAAATAGAAATATGTCCCTCAAAAATAAAAACTAGTAAGAAACAAATAAGCTATTTAAACATATATGTAGGCCTCAACTTTGTATAATATGTTTCTTTTGATTTTCCATTAGTTTATCATTATTCTGATGTGCTGTACAAAATATAGGGTCACATCTTTTGACCTAATGATCTTATACTGTTGTTTTCCAATTTATAGTAAATTTGTTTTCCAATAAATACCAAATTTCCCAGGGTTTATACATATGATGTCCTCTAAACAATTTTCAGTCAATGGCTGAAATTTGAATGTCAGAAATTTTCATTCTTCCCCAAAAAAGACAAAACATACCTGGATTATCAACTTTTATTTTTTATCTACAGGCAATTTCATTGAAAGAAAGTTGATCCTTATTATCCAGAGATTAAAGCATTTTTACATTCTAGATTTGTAGATTTGAGGAGAGTTGTTTTTGTGCTGGAAAGTTTAATTCAGTTGGAGTTAAAATAATCACAGATGATCCTTTCATTTTTTATTCAAACGTTTCTCAATAATTGTTCTCAATAAAAAACATGTGACATAGAACTGGCAGTTGATTTATTAAGTTTAATGAGCTCAAGGAGTGAAACTTTAACATGTATAATTGTTTTTTAACAGGAGATAAGTAAACAGACTGGGGTATCATGGAACAAAAGATTTAGGAAAAACTTTGGACCTATTGTTAAGGTTAGTTATGGTTAAGTCTGAAAACCATTGGAAGTAAAACACTGCACAACAGAAAATAGAATTTTTCTTTTATTTGTGGTAATAATTTTTTTTTAAATGTACATATCTATGAAATCATGAGTTGTAAGTTATCCTTTATAAAATACTATTGTCAGACTTTATTCGTATGAAATATCATAATTTTACTAAAAGAAACAATAGTTACTATAAGTGAAAGTTGTTTCCTGTAGAAAATTGTACTAAAAGAAAAAAAAAATTGCTATAGGTGGCAGTTGATCACTACCAAATTTGACAGATGACACAGTTTTTCACAGCTGTAAAATGTCTGTCCCAAAGCAAACTTAAAAATGGCATAAACGTTTTGGTTGAAACAAACAAAAAAGAGTCACAATTTATTTATTCGTTTGGTCTTTTCGCAAATGGTTGACATTTTACAATTGTGGTTGTAAAAAGCAAAAATCATGTATCTCACACAAATTATTAATTGATAAAACACATCATTTTTATGCCCCAGCCGAAGCAGAGGGGGCATTAAGTTTTTACCCTTGTCCGTCTGTCCGTACGTACGTACATCCCAAAATTGGTTTCTGTTCTCTAACTTAAGTTTGCCTCAACCAAATGTTATCAAACGCATACACAATGCTTATTACCACAAAACACCGAGCAAGATTGAATTTTGGTGGCGTCACTTTAACCGTTCTAGAGTTAAGCCCCTTTATAAATGGAAAAATTGCAAAATTTTTCATTTCCGTTCTCTAACTTAAGTTTGCCTCAACCAAATGCTATGACACACAATACACAATGCTTATTACCACAATACACAGATCAAGTTTGAATTTTGGTGGCGTCACTTTTACTGTTCTAGAGTTATGCCCCTTTACAAATAGAAAAATTAAGCAATTTTTCATTTTTTTTCTAAAAATATCAATGATGTCATTGTTCAAGTAATTTTTAAAATTGGAGTTATCTTCCTTTGTCCATGATTATAATTGAATCAACTTCAATCAATGCTTTATACAATGCAATGTTTAATTTTGCCTTCCACTGATAAAACACAGATCAAGTTGAATTTGGGAAGTGTCACTTTAACCATTATTGAGTTATGCCCCTTTATAAATCGAAAAATTGCAAAATTTTTAGTTTCCGTTCTGTAACTTAAGTTTGCCCAAACCAAACATGAAACCTATACACAATACTTATTACCACAAAACTAAGATCAACTACAAATTTGGGTAGCGTCACTTTTATTGTTCTTGAGTTATGTCCCTTTATAATGTATGCCAGCGGGGGCATCATCTGTGTCCATGGGGACACATTCTCCATTTATTTGTATTTTCTTTGATAAAGTCAACTGAAGTCTTTAGGTTCTGAAATTTTCAGTGTGATGGATAATTTGATAGAATAATTAATTCAGAGTTCTGATCATGTTGATGACATTAGTAGAAAGACAATAGAATGAATTTGTTGTCTTCATTTTACTTGATGTTTCTGAATAATTCTAATAACAATAAATGTCAACAACATTCAGTACTTCATCATTTGTATAGAAATAGATCTATTTTAAAAGGTTGTATAGATATATTTTTCTTGTTGTATTTTCAGTTTTTAGAAAAAAATCATGAAGTATTTGTATTTGACCCTGGTAGTAATCATGTATCACTAGGAAATTCTACGAAAGTGACGGGTGATAAAGAACAAAATTCTCCTACAGCAACTGCTGAGCCAAGAAATAAGAGGTAAACTTCTTAATCAGAACTTCTCTCAATAGCTTCTCTCTGTTACAGCTTTTTCATTTTGTTGATAGTAAACTTACGGTGACCTAAAGTTAACTTCTGTGTCATTTGGTCATTGATGGAGAGTTGTCTCATTGGCAATCATACCACATTTTCTTATTTTTATATTAATTGACAGTTAGTGTCAGAATTATTAAGAATCTAAAGGCTTATCTTGCCATAAGTAAACCTCATGTATAGGTCATATCATCTTTTTCATTTAAAGACAAATTCCTACTCAGGGAAGAATTACAATCTTCGAGAGAACCATCAATAAAACTGATATTCACATTGATCCAGGCTTGTATAGATTTCATAGCCTCTAAGCACAGAAGTAATTACTGAGTGACAAACTGTTGATGTGTTATTTCATGGAATACCCATTATAAAAATCTAAAAATATCACTGATGAAAACACATAGCTTTAGTTCATCATCTATGCAGATGATTATACATTTATTTGAAACAAATAAAAGATGGTAAAAAAACTCTTATTTCTGTTGTAGACCACAATCACCAACACCAATGCCTGGTCAAGCTTGGTTTAACTTTGATGACTCAAGAGTTTCTCCAATCAGAGAAAAGGAAATAGAAAAACAATATCAAGGAAAAGAAAGTGCTTATATGTTGTTCTACAGAAGGAAGACATTGACAAGACCAATAGAAGGTAGTATCCCTAAAAGTCATTTCATTGCACATTTATATACTTACACTGTAAGCTAACACTACCATTTAGATACTTACACTGTAAGCTAACACTACCATTTAGATACTTACACTGTAAGCTAACACTACCATTCTCGCTGGTCTTTATAGTGAATTAAGACTTTCCATTACTTGCATACATTATGAAAAACCTTTCCAGTACAGTTGGTATTAAGAAGAGTAAAGGATTTATTTGAGTCTACCTTATTGAGTAGAATACTGTATTCGTACTTTTGCCTTGGGTTTTGTTTCACCTTGACGGAGTCAAAAAGTGAGACATAGGTATGCTATTTCTGGCAGCGGAAACGGCGTCAACAGCAGCAGAGAAGGCAGCGTCAACAAGGGATTAGGTAGTTTATGGGGAACCACTAGTGGTAGGTCAATGATATTTGGTATGCAGTTGTATAAACATTGGTACATCTCATTTCCATGGAGATTATTTTGCCCCACCCCCTCAGTCACGGTCTATTGACATTGAAACTTTTGCTTAGTTTACATGTATTAGTTTGTGTTTAGGTCAGTTTATGGGGAACCACTAGTGGTAGGCCAATGATATTTGGTATGCAGTTGTTTTACTGTTGGCACATCTCATTTCTATGGAGATTATTTGGGCCTGCCCCCTCAGTCATAGTCTATTGACTTTCAAACTTTTGCTTAGTTTACATGTATTAGTTTGTGATTAGGTCAGTTTATGGGGAACCACTTGTGGTAGGTCAGTGATATTTGGTATGCAGTTTTGTTAGCATTGGCACATCTCATTTCTATGGAGATTGTTTGGTCCTGTACCTTCAGTCATTGTTCATTGACTTTGAAAATGTTTCATAACTTACATGTTAAAGTATTGCTATTTTAATTTTAATATTTGAATTTTACTATCAAAATAACGAAAAGGTGAGACATATCTCTGTATTAACAGTTTATTGTATTGACCAATTGTTTAGTCCAAGTGAATGAGCCTTTATTTAAGTATGAGGTATGTGATATCTTGTCTATTGTTAAGCGTTATATTTAGATTTATATATATACATGTCCCTTATTCTCACCAAATATTACTGTGTGTAAAACAAGTAAAAATAAAAATGTTATGAATATAAATTAAAGATCAGCAAAATATTCTGTAAGCTTTGAGTTTCCTTATTGATTTTTACATCTCTAGATATAGGAAGATGTGGTATGAGTGCCAATGAGACAACTCTCCATCCAAGTTACAATTTATAAAAGTAAACCATTATAGGTCAAGGTACGGCCTTCAACACAGAGCATTGGCTCACACTGAACAGCAAGCTATAAAGGGCCCCAAAATATTACTAGTGTAAAACCATTAAAACGGAAAAACCAACGGTCTAATCTATATAAAAACGAGAAACGAGAAACACGTCTACCCATTTGAAATGTTGATAGATGTATACTAGTTTCTGCTTCTATGCAGATTTGGTCTTCAAAGTGAGTATATCTTTAATTTTAGCTGAAGGAAATCCAGCATACAAGGTTCCAGATAACCTAGTTACAGATATTATCATAGAAAATGATGAACTCAGTAGAAAAAGGTATTTATAACGTCACCTCACTGAAAAAGGTACTTATAACATCATCTCACCAAAAGGGTACTTATAACACCACCTCACCAAAAAGGTATTTATAACATCACCTCATTGAAAAAGGTAATTATAACATCACCTCACCAAAAAGGTACTTATAACACCACCTCACCAAAAAGGTACTTATAACACCACCTCACCAAAAAGGTACTTATAACACCATCGCACCAAAAAGGTACTTATAACACCACCTCACCAAAAAAGTACTTATAACACCATCTCACCAAAAAGGTACTTATAACATCACCTCACAGAAAAAGGTATGGGTTGTGCTCATTGTTGAAGGCTGTAAAGCAACCTATAGTTGTTAATTTCTGTGTCAATTGGTCTCTTGTGGAGAGTTGTCTCATTGGCAATCATACCACATCTTCTTATTTTTATAATAACATCCCCTAACCAAAAGAGGTAATTTTAACATCAAAGTTAACGCTACAGAAAAATGCACTGAAAACATCAATGTTAACTCTTCAGAAACAGGAACTAATAACAACATTAACTCTACAGGAAAGGGTACTTATAACATCAAAAATAACTCAACAGAATTGATTGATTGCTTGTTGGTTGCACAATGTCTAGTGGCAAATATTTCATGTATATTCAGGATGAGAACAAATTAATAATAAATACTATAGGTAGGTCCTGTAATACAGGCCGTCTGAAGGTCGGGGAAATTTGGACCACCACTATAAAATGAGAGTATTTAGGTTAGGGACAAATTTTTTCTATGCAACAGGCCACTTACAGACCCCTCAAAGAGTTGTTGCAAGAGTTCTTAGCTTGGCACACTCTTTACACGGACGTTGCTGCATACTTGTACATCCTGCATAGACAAATGGACGCCCCACTTTGGCAATGGTTTTAATGCCAGTCGAAAGAAGACTAAAGTGACCATTTTTCTATTTCCCATTCACCTTTTGGGGCAACTCCACAGAAAAAGGTACTTTTTACATCCAAGTTTACTCCATAAAAAAAAGTATTAATAACATCCATGTTTACTCCACAAAAAAGGGTACATATAACACAGAAAGAGGTACTTATAACATCACTGCACAAAAAAGGTACATATAACTTCAAAGTTAACTCCACAGAAAAAGTACTTTTTACATCCAAGTTTACTCCACAAAAAAGTACTTATAACGTCCAAGTTTACTCCACAAAAAAGGTACTTCTAACATCCAACTTTACTCCACAAAACAGGTACTTACAACATCCAAGTTACTTATGGCATAGTACATAAAAGTTTACTCCACATAAAGAGGTACTTATAGCATCATTGCACAAAAAAGGTACTTATAACTTCAAAGTTAACTCCGCTGAAAGAGGTACTGATGACATCTCTTCACTGGAAAGGGAAAAACTAACATTTAATGAATTGTCAGTTGACTTATTTTGAGATATGTTTGCTACAACTATCAATGAGAACATAATTAGGAATGGGTAGGGATAAATGTAATGTCTGACCACAGATGTAAAATATCTGTTTCAGACAGGAATATGAGATAGAAGTCAACACGATTACTGTACAGATCCACTTCAGCCAATCATATCAGTACTACTCTGGGGCATTACATCCTAGACCAGACCAGTGTGGCTGGATGGAACTTACTGTTGACAGGAGGAAAACTATAGCTGATCTAAAAATAGCAGTAACTGAGGTCAGTACCAATGGTACTATGATAGTGCAGAGTGCTTACACTTATAATTCAGATTTATTTGATTGTATAGTTTGTATAAAGACAAAGTATGCTTAGCAGCAAATAGAATAGAATGGTTTGGCTATGGCAAGCTAAAATATTAAATATGTACTCCTTAATACAGTAATGGAATTTTTTATAGTGCTCTAATCATTTCAAGTGTATACAAACAAATGATTCCTTTTTTTTTAAGTTTCTAATAATTTCATCTATTATTCTGAATAAAGATGTAAGACTGATAGGAGAATCTACAAGTATATCTGAATGAACAAGGGAGTCATTTGCTTGAAATATTGTGTTGCATTGTATATGATCTATACTGTCATAATTAATAGAATAGTTCTTAGAATGTATATGGAATTTAGTGTTTAATATTTTGGACTCTCCAACTTGGAATTGATATACCTAGCCATGAATATAGTGATGTTAAATAGTGTAGGGAAAACACACTCTTAATGAGAATAAATGACTTTAATATTTGTGAATTTTCCTGTATATTTCTGATGTCACAATGCTTAAATAAATGTTATTATATATCAGTAAGAGTCGATTGTTCAATGAAGTCAGGTCAACCAGGATAACTGAAATTCTGTTGAACATTTTGGAATTATTGAATAGAAAGGAGAAAATCTTATAACCTGGAACATTTTTAAATGATTTTCTATTTATTCTGTGTTTCAGTTAGGAGGAGAACTGGTACCTGAAATATTTGTAATACAAAGGTTGAAGGAGTTACCAGCTGGCCACCATTTATATGAGTTTTTATCTGGTAAATGATTACATGTTATAGATCTGTTAGGTGTTGATGCTTCAGGAGACTTCTTTGTTCATCAATCTTATACTAGCTTACAGACATAGTCCTTTAAAGACAGTGTCCATATGTTTGGATATTAAAATATTGAGCTGATTTAGCATCATCACAATAGCCAGATTTTTTTTGAAACTGACGTTGATATAAAATTTTAGAAGGTGAATAATCCATTAATTCATGAGAATGATAATTGTATTTCAGCATGCTTATAATCATGTTTGGAAGTGCTGTATTTTCCTCTAAAAATTAAGCACTTATGACTTTTTTATTGGATTGTGTCCTGTAGCCTCTTATCATAACTGAACATCTTAAAATTTCAAACCAAGAGAAATGAAGAACTAATTGTATGTCAACAGAAGATCTATAAATAGAAAGAGAAAGACAGCAACACATCAATACATTGAATCATAGAAATATTCTCAGTAGGAAACTTGAAGAATATGGATGCCACAGGTCTAACATTGACAGAACTATTTTATATAATATCAGAAACTTAAGTCTTTTATTAAGAAATATTTTCTAATTTGAAAACAATTACTGTTTCAAAAATAATCCATCAAAGAGAATAAAGGTTGAACTTAATATAATGTCTACCTGACTAATGAACAACAATTATTACAGGTGATGACAGTAAACAGATAAAGGACATTACTATTGACGATGGAACTATGTTATTTATATGGGATGGTCATCAGGTTAGTAGATACATTACTATCTGTTTATATTTTGTAAAAATGAACATAATATAAGCTTAACATTTTACTATATCTATGATGACTTTTTGAATTGGTCATATTAACTTATAAACATCACCTTTCACACCATCATTTTGTTCACATTTTAATTTTCTGTGTCATTATATATGCCTAAAGTTGCCTAAAAATGCATTTGGCCACAAAAATAGGTAAAAATTTCAACACTACTTTGAACTAACGAATATTTATAAGATATGCATTTACTTAAAATCATTCCAAGTTAAAACTTATGATAAAATAAGAGGTTTAAAGAATTTGAAAAATTTCAGTTTATGACAGTTATCCAAGGAAAATAGTTTAAAAGCATTTTTGTATAGTTAGACACAGAACTGGAGAACATTATTATATGAGAAGAAATCAGGCAGATACTGTTGATTACTTTGTACTCCGAATAAATTCTTCTGTGATAAATGGCAACAACTATGCCTTCTAAAATGTTATTGATAAGTTATTGAAAGTAATGAATTTCTAGAGTGTGATACAAAATTTGAGAGAGAGAGATTTTTGGCAAAGCCCTGTAGCTAAAAATGGTTCATACTTAACCAATAGCCTTCTGATCTGTATATTATCTGAATTAACACTATAACTGCAGTGATCTCCGCATGCCGTTTTAGCGTCGCGGCACCTGGCCGCTATATATAATTTTTTTCCCTGATGCTGTAATATTTTGAGGATGAATTTTTTTTTGTCTCTATACATTGCCGCCAAATCGATGTCCTAATTTTTGAACTTTCGTCTAATAACCGCTTGTGATCATAAAAATTATATCACCTTTAATTGTAATCCCTTCAAGTCGGACAATGGAGGCAATTAAGAGTGATTAAATGGGTGTTAATTGCCCTTTGGGTGATAACTGTTTGGATACGAATACCCCAAGCTGACACTTATGACATGACTAATAACACGTGGTCCAATCGCAAATTTTGACATCGAGAAAATGGAATAAAAAATTCATAAACAATTAGAAATCTACATTTGCATCATGGCATAACCGTCTCCTAAGAGAAGAAAAACTAAGCGGGGTACCTAGATGTTGACAAAATGGCTGACCAAACCAAGTTGTACAAATACGCATTTTTTTCATGTCGATTAAACAGCAATTTTTCATTTATAAGTAAAGAAATTCAAAGATATAAACGATTTATTTCTTTAGAAAAGAGGTGAAAGCACTGAATTTACAGATTGGACATATATTGAATTTACAGATTGGTTGTATATTGAATTTACAGATTGGTCGTATATTATTTCAAACAAACAACTTATAAAGAAGTAGTTTCTTTCTCTACCGGTACTTGTTACTCGAGAGAGTACATTAAACATTCTGATTTTCTGCAAAATAAGTTTGATACTTCATTAGAACGTGATGAAAATTGCCTTTAGTTAATGTTTCATCCATTTATTGCATCAAAAGCGTCATATTCATTCCAAATCGCTTGTCAAACATTGTTTATTTTCGTTAATTTTTCTTTGACCGCCATTGAAATATTTGTTCAAACAACGGATCGGATGCGGGATTCATCGGAAGGGGACCAGCTATGACCAAAATCCGCATTTTTACGATAATAACTACAGACGCACAAATGGCACAGCTGACAGAATAATAATGATCCAAAAAAGGAAAACTACTCATTCCACACGCATTAACAGACTTCCTTGCTAAATGTATTTATTTCTATGTAAATGCATTAATTGTTTCAATTTACTGATTAAAGTAGCTTAAATATATATCTTTTTGATGGGAAACAACTGGGACTAATACATTGAGTCCCAGGAAACAATAAATTTCATAAACATGATAAAAAGAATAGTTTTTTAATTGAAATTTTATTAATATATGATACTTTCTTTTCCTTTTTGATATAAAAAAAAAGGTTTTTTTTGTACTAGATATTTAGTTGTAGTTTCTGACAAGAGGAAAAATCTAATTCTGTAAGAGGAAAAATATAATTCTGTAACTATAAATGAATATTGAAGACATAAACTGAAACAACTGTTATACTTTAATTGTATTCTCACATGTCTCAGTTATGAATTGAACAATATAAACATTATTTAAAGGAAATAGAGCATTGCCGCGAATCATCAAATGACATTGAAAAGAAATACAATTTATTTTTTTACGCCAAATGTGATGCTATCCAAAATTTCTGGGGAGAACACTGAAGTGGGAATGTTTATTATGACAGTTATTTACACTGTTTTTCTAGACAGGTAAGTTATTTTTATTTGACAGAAATGTTGCTTAAAACTGAAATAAATCAACACAATTTATCATTTAAAACCTGGTAAGACAAAGTTTTAAGGGAACTTTGCTGGTTGCTGGTTTATATTGAAAATATGGCATTTATTTTTTATACTCAATTTTGAAAATTTTGAGTGTTGTATATGCTATCTTTTCTGTCATTGAAGAACATTATTGTTTACAGGTGAATGGAACAACTGTACCATCTGGGCTGGAATATGAACCTATTCTACTTAACATATCTTATGGGAATGACCAACTGTTTATTAGAGGTTTTTCTAAAAGTTTGACATTGGAGCAGTTCAAGGTCATTGTTAGTGAGGAGTCGAGGATTAGAACCAAGGATCTGAGATTAAAAAGAATTGTAAATCAAGGTGAGTTTAAAGTCAAGTAGAAGATGGGGATTAGAATAAGGATATAAGAATTAAAAAGACTTTTAAAAGGACTTGATTTTACCAAGAATTGGTATTAAGGTGAGTACAAGTTCATTGTAAATGAGGAGAAGAGATTAGAATTAAAGACCTGATTTAGATTCAACTTTTAAAAAGTATCTGATATAAAATGAAAAGATTTAATGTATAATTACACCTCATGTAAGAATCCTGGGTTTTGATTGGTTGATAGCCAGTGTATTTTTCACCAATTTACTTTTACCAAATGAATATCGTTCATTTTTAAACAGCGCTGGGGTATATGCAAAAAGGATATGCCTTTTTTACCCTCTCTGCCGTAGTATTTGCCAAAAAATACTCTATCCGACTGGACGCTTGTAATGTCATGATCATCAATGCGTTTTATGTCACGATCATCAATGCGTTTTGTACGTTAACATTCGGTGTAATTAAACAGATATAGCATGTTCTTGAGGGGTATTTGCGAAAAATACCAGTCTTGAGAATGAATTTCCCTCGCCTTACGGCTCGCGAAATTTAACATTCTCGCGACTGGTATTTTTCACAAATACCCCTCCTTAACATGATATATCTGTTCATTATTTGGTTGAGGCATATTGCAATGATTATGCTGTATATTTATGCATAGTTGTAGAAATTGATAAAAATTAAATTATGTAGGCCCAATTCAAATACAGATTGAATTCAGCATATGTCCAACATACCTTCGCCTAAAAAAATAGGAAGTGTAAAGAAATATGTGATTTTTCTATCATCGAGTATAGCTGTTTGATATTTTCAACATATATGTTTTGTGAGTAGTAAATAAAAATAGTCTAACTATATGTACAAATTAACTTTTATTTGTAGACACCAACCCAAAACTGATAGATTTTTCCAGTGATTTATTGGATACAACTTTAGAAACACTTAGACTTAAGAATGGAGATGAAATAATTGTAGAGGACAAATCGGAGTAAGAATTAGTTGTTTTCTTATTAAATACAAAATATCATTCATTAAACAATTATTCTTCTATCTGGAAGTGTTTAACGACCTTGACTGGCTGCCCTCGCACGGTTGGGTATTCTTCGGTTTTCTTATATCAACTTTAAGGGAAAATATTTTAATTCATATGATCCAAGGAACAAGTGTGAACTATTGCACCTAGTTTATTTGATATTAAACCTGGTAGAAAACCTCCTTATGGTGTTAGGTTCAAATTGGGACTCATGTTTGGTCATTTAATCAGCAAAGTACCAAACTTATTTTTCAAATTTGAAAAACATCAGTAAATATTGTGCATTGGTGAATTCACAGTCTCACTTTTTCATAAATGTAAAATTAGTCTTTTAAAACAGAAGAGAAGTAGTATATGTATATGGGTGTATGATCATATCACCTTGACAGTATTTGGTCATATTTGACATCAGAAAGCTAAGATAGATGAATATTTCTTAAAATTTATCATATAAGAGGTCAGTTATTCCAATATAATCAGATGTGGATACATGTGTAATGTTGTTTAATTTCAGACAATCTGTGTCAGATAGAACCTTTCAGAACAAAATGAAAATGACCTATCCTATATATATAGAAAATCGCTGTAGTAATGTAAGTATCTGAAGACATGTGTTTGATTATTGGAAATCAATGCTTAACTTAAAAGTAACACAATCTGAATATAAATAAAAAGATATCTAAAGGGCAATAAAAAGTCAAAGTAAAGAACAGACAATGCAGCAATAAAAAGACAGATAATATCCCACAAAACATTATACCAATAAAACAACCTAAAAGTTCAGCAACATGAAATCACTTTAAGCAAAGGTATCTCAGGTGGCTTGTAAATGAACGCAATTCCTGCTTCAATATTATATATATTTTTACTATTTAAGGGGACCAAATGAGGGTCCTTATAATGATTACTCCTAAATATTAATCATTATAAGTTGCATCCATTCTTCACCAATAAATAACTTGCTAAATATCAAGGAAAGTAAACATTATTGTTTTATAAAAATTGTTCTATCTTCATTGTATATAAAGCATGTATTCTGTTTCAGAATGAAAGAATCCCAGTTTAAAGTTGAATTTTTATGTTTATAGATTTTACATGATGACAACAAGCGCATAAGATTAGAAGTTACAGCAGACATGGTAAATTTACGTCTATATTCTTTAAGATATTACAAAATTTGTACTGGTTGAGGACCATTTACTGTCAGTAACCATCTGGTATTTTGTCCAATAGCAGAGGCATTGTATTAATTCGGCATACAGCTATCATCTGCAGAAAAAACACTTTTATTTCATTTTTAAAAACTTAGTTTTGTTTGATTTGATTCAGACTAGGAAATGCTGAGTTTTCTGTTTTTAAAGGCAGTGCTTTAATGCCTTTCTAGTTGCCGGGTCAATCCTTCCTTCCGCGATATCCAACTTATCTACGTGGGGGGTCATTAGACTCCAAGTAGATCCGGAAATGTTGAATTCTCTCCTCTTCTTATTGCGATATAAAATGTTTTTTGTTTCATTTCATCTACATTGGGAAATAGAGAAACGATCATTGTGTTTTGTTAGTTTTAAAAACTTTTGATATATTAGTATTTTGCATTATAAGCAGTCAACCGATTGACAAACTAGAATTATTGAATTCCGTGTGGAAAGAGCTCAGGTTAATTTCGAGTGTTATCTGCAATCTAGATGTTTATAAATCATTTCAGTCGTTGATATAATAATTAAAGGTCGACTGAACATGAATTATATTATACAATTTAAAGCGCATTTCTGTTTATGCACGTGAACCCGTCTAACGTTATTTTCGCAGTTATATAAAGTAGCAAATTATCGTTCGTGAATAGGTGGCGCCGTGGTAGCGGATCCTGTTCCTCTACTTCCGGTTTCTGCACTGTGCAACTATTTCAGTTATATTTTTAATTAACGATGCCAAGTACTTGTTGTTGTGTACCTGGATGTCATTTAAGAGGAGGACATGCATTTCCAAATGACTTAAAAAGAAGGAAAAGTTGGATCAACGCCATGGCCCATACGCAGATTGGACGAGAACACGATGATATCGTGGAGTCCATCTCAATCAGCTGTTGTTTGCAAGGCACGTTTTACTGAAAAAAGACTACGTGCAGGAAACTATTCATGGTAAAACTCTATTTTCTTTGTGAAATATATAGTTATATATGTAATCGCCATGCGAATAAACCAAAGTCTGTTTACAACCGCAATTATCGTTTTAGAATAAAAGGGGGTGGGTAATTCAAGACGTCATAATTTTTTGGAATACGATTCAATGTGATCTGTTTGAGATTTTTTGGTGATTGCTACAATTATAATGATTTCTTACAAGAGGTATATCATACTGAGAATTATTTTAGCAGTAATTATGCTAATGACAGTTACTAATGTAGTAATGACAGGAATGCATAAGCTATGCCTCATAGACTTTCTTGAAAAATATCAATGACAATGTTAACAGGAACAAAACAATGACATGCTCTTATCTATATTATAGTTATTTAGGTACAAACAATGTACGTTTGTTGCATAAGTCTCTCATTGTTTGTCCTTTGGATTTACATAACAAACATTGAATCAGGCAAACATAGTTTTATCCAGATTGTAATGAATAAATCTAGTTAATATTTCGCCAGGTAGTACAAAGTATACATTGCTAATGGAAGTTCATTTAATTATAAAAAAACTAATGTTTTATAACCTTTTTCAGGGCGCAAACCCACCATACAGAGACTTAAGTCTACTGCAATTCCCAGCCTATTTTCCTGGACCAAGCAAGAGACTGAATCGTCCGCAAAAAGAAAAATCAGGGCAGTTTCCTGTGAAAACAAAAGAACTAAACTTGATGAATATTGTAGTAGAAATCTAGAGGAAAGTTTTGATTGTAAAGTTGGTTTTCCTGAAGAAGTCATTCATACTGCAGAAAGGATTTATGACTGTCCACCACCAACTGCCGAGCTAATGTTGAGCTTCACAGATGGAATTACGCAAACACCATCAATGCCTATGTTTTCAGCAGAGAATTTTGAAATGAAGACACATGACACAGCCATGCATTTTTATACCGGTTTAGAGTTGTATACTAAATTTTTATTTGTTTTGACCACACTTGGTCCAGCAGCACATTGTTTGAGATACATATATTTTCAAATTGATAGGGTGTCAGTTGAAAATCAGTTTTTTTATGACTTTGATGAAATTGAGGCATCATACAACCAACTTTGAACTGTCTAGATTCTAGATTGAATCTAGTGTTAAGAATATTGTGTATACATGGATTGTTTTTATGTCTAAACAGTGGTGTGAGGCTAACACTTGGCCATCTAGTGGTTTAGTCAGGTATTTTTCACCATCCAACTTCAAATTAAAGTTTCCTACGACTTGGATTATTATTGACAGCACAGAATATCCCGTGATAAAACCTAAAGCTCCTAGAGCTCAGGCAACCTTTTCATCAAATAAAAACAGAAACACTGAAAATTCTTGAATGTTCGACACCTGGTGGTTTAGTCAACTATGTCTCTATGTCACATAGAGCGAATTATTGGACTTGGCAAAACATACAAAATTCTAATAAATCCTATGAATGGAACTGAAACAAAACTTTCATCTGAAATAACATTTAGTTGTTTTATGTTGTGTAATTTTAGAACTTGTATTGTGCCAAAGGATGCATAAATAAAAGTGACGCAATGAATTTTGTTCTGATATATATATATTTACAATTACATGCACATGTAAATTGTAATGCATATAAAAATAAGGAGATGTGGTATGATATTCAGTGAGTTTATCAAACTAAAGTGCATAAGAAATGGGTTTAAGCAGTTACAGGTGTTACTGTCAACGTACAATCTCCAACAATGAGAAAAACTCGTACCCTGTAAAAAATTTCAGAGATCTTACAACTAAGTTTTGTTGTCTCACCTTGACTTTGGTGAATTTTTTATATCTGTTGATGTAAATATAAAAAAGAAGATGTGGTATGATTGCCAATGAGACAACTCTCCACACATGCACAAGAGACCAAATGACACAGAAATTAACAGCTATAGGTCACAGTACAGCCTTCAACAATGAGCAAAGCCCATACCGCACAGTCGGCTATAAAAGGCCCAGAAATGACAATGTAAAACAATTCAAACAGGAAAACTAACGGCCTATTTTATGTAAAAAAATGAACAAATATAACAAATATGCAACACATAAACAAACGACAACCACTGAATTACACTTTTATAGGCTCCTGACTTGGGACAGGCACATACATGTACATACAGAATGTGGCGGGCTTAAACATGTTAGCGGGATCCCAACCCTCCCCCTAACCTGGGACAGTGGTGTAACAGTACAATATAAGAAAGAACTATAAAAATCAGTTGATAGAGGCTAAACTCATCAGATGGATAAATACAAATACAAGTGGACGTGGTCGGGTAGTTGTACACATGTACATCCAAACAACAAAAAGACACTAAGTACAAATCTGAGAGTACTCGCAGTTACTGACAGCTAGTTCAAAGCCACTAACAACTGATAAAAAAATCTTGCATCTAAGACTAAATTATCAATCCGTAAGCTCCCTTCAGAATTTTATAAATTTTAGATTTTACATTTCTGAGTTATGGGGTTTTATTCATTAAAAAAGGGGGGATTTTCCAGTTTTTGGACAACAACTCAAAAATGCTTTAAGCAGTTCACATGAAACTTTGGTGAATTATTTATAGCTATTGATGTAATCTCCCTATTGATTTTCATAAATTTCAAATATGACATTGAGAAGAAATTGAACTTTATTTGTTTATAGTCTGGCAACAGATTTATTAAGTATTGCACAACAGCACAGTGTATTGCACAACAGCAAGAAATCTTTAATTGAATATAAATTCAATTCATATAACCGATTTCAAGTTCATTGACTTCATTTATTCAGAAACTATAATATGTCAAATATTTAATTACAATCCAAATTCAGACCTGTATCAAGCTTGAATATTGTGTCCATTTTTGCCCCAGCTGTTCAGGGTAGTACCTCTGCGGGTGTATCCAGCTGCGCTCAGCGAATCAGTTTATTTCTTAATTAAGAACTCCTTTTTATACGACCGCAAAAAAATTTTTGTGGTCGTATATTGGTATGACGTTGGCGTCGTCGTCGTCCAGCGTTGTTCGTCCGAAGACACATTAGTTTTCGCACTCTAACTTTAGTTTAAGTGAATGGATCTCAATGAAATTTTAAAATAAGGTTCAATACCACAAAAGGAAAGTGGGGATTGATTTTGGGGGTTATGGTACCAACAGTTAAGGAATTAGGGGCCAAAAATAAGCATTTTTGTAACTTCCAGACATAACTTGTGTGTAAGTGTATGGATCTCTCTGACATTGTACCACAAGGTTCCATATCACAAAGGGAATGCTGGGATTGATTTTTGGGGGTAATTGCCTCCAAATTTTAGGAATTAGGGGCCAAAAAGGGGCAAAAAACAAGCATTTTTCTAGTTTCATGACAATAACTTGTGTGCAAGTCTATGGATCTCTCTGACATTGTATCACAAGGTTCCATATCACAAAGGGAATGCTGGGATTGAATTTTGGGGTAATTGCCTCCAAATTTTAGGAATTAGGGGCCAAAAAGGGGCAAAAAACAAGCATTTTTCTAGTTTCATGGCAATAACTTGTGTGTAAGTGTATGGATCTTTATGAAATTGTACTTCAAGGTTCCATATCACAAAGGGAAAGCTGGAATTGATTTTTGGGGTAATTGCCCAAAAAGTTTAGGAATAAGGGGCCAAAAATAAGCATTTTTCTAGTTTCCAGACAATAACTTGTGTTCAAGTGTATGGATCTCTCTGAAATTGTAGTGCAAGGTACCATACCACAAAGGGAATGCTGGGCTTGATTTTGGGGGTAATTGCCTCCAAATTTTAGGAATTAGGGGCCAAAAAGGGGCAAAAAACAAGCATTTTTCTAGTTTCATGACAATAACTTGTGTGTAAGTCTATGGATCTCTCTGACATTGTATCACATGGTTCCATATCACAAAGGGAATGCTGGGATTGATTTTGGGGGTAATTGCCTCAAAATTTTAGGAATTAGGGGCCAAAAAGGGGCAAAAAACAAGCATTTTTCTAGTTTCATGGCAATAACTTGTGTGTAAGTGTATGGATCTTTATGAAATTGTACTACAAGGTTCCATATCACAAAGGGAAAGCTGGGTTAGAGTTTGGGAGTAATTGCCCTAAACGTTTAGGAATTTGGGACCAAAAAGGGGCCAAAAAACAAGCATTTTTCTAGTTTCCAGACAATAACATGTGTTCAAGTGTATGGATCTCTCTGAAATTGTACTGCAAGGTACCATACCACAAAGGGAAGGCTGGGATTGAGTTTTGGGGTGATGAATCATAAGGGGGTTCAAAAAATTGGGGGGGGGGGGATTCTTTTTCCTTTTTTTTCTTTAAAATTTTCCATTTTAAATTGGTTATTTCTGATTTATATATAATGATATGGTTTGAATATGTAAATTAAATTTTTTTAAGTATCTTAGACCACTTTCATTCTGTGTCAGAAACCTATGCTGTGTCAAATATTTAATTACAATCCAAATTCAGTGCTGAATCAAGCTTGAATGTTGTGTTCATACTTGCCCCAACTGTTCAGGGTTCGACCTCTGCGGTCGTATCAAGCTGCGCCCCAGCGGAGCATTTTATTTCATTCATAAATTACTTTATGCTTGGAAATATAATTTTGCTTGGAGTTGAAAGAGTTGACATGTTGCAATGTACATTTACTCTACATAGTTCTATGGTACCAAATCAAAAGTTTATATAAAGAAAGAAGTCAAAGGTTTCCCATCATAGTTTAGTTACATACATTTTTTTTGTACCTGAGGTCGTTGAATATAGATCATTATATAAATAAGGAGATGTGTTATGATTGCCAATGAAAAAACTAAGGATTTTCTTATCCAAGGAATAGATTACCTTAGCCGTATTTGGCACAACTTTTTGGAATTTTGGGTCCTCAATGCTCTTCAACTTTGTACTTGTTTGGCTTTGTTACTATTTTGATCTGAACGTCACTGATGAGTCTTATGTAGACGAAACACACGTCTGGCGTATTAAATTATAATCCTGGTACCTTTGATAACTAATTTGACTATAAACATAGATAAAAAAGGTACAAACTGGACATAATGCACTAGTTCATAAACAAGTGAGAACAATCGCCTTCATATAGTGCTCAGAATATGACATTCATAAAACTTATTCAATATCATTAGAGAACTCTAAATCTTAAATACTGAAAGCCACCTCTGATAAGTACACTGTACTATGCAAGATAATGATGTAACTGGACTTAAAATACACACAACCTGTAATTAACTGCCTTTACAGCGCTTTCGTGCTTTGATTGAACACATTGTGGGAGATATACGTGTAGAGACATGACATCATTACTTTACGATGTCCATGATTTTATAATACTTTTGGGAGATATACCTGTGGAGACATGACATAATTACTTTACGATGTCCATGATTTTATAATACTTGTGGGAGATATATGTGTGGGGACATGACATCATTACTTTACGATGTCCATGATTTTATAATACTTGTCGGAGATATACGTTAGGAGACATGACATCATTACTTTACAATGTCCGTGATTTTATAATACTGATTTCAGACAAAGTAATATACTTACTTTAGATCACAAAGTTCTTTCATTGGAATTCAAAACAGTTTATAAAAATGAATATCAAATTATGTGTTCCTCTTCAGTACAGAGCAACTTGACATAAATTCATGACTAGTTCAAAAAATGTAAATATTGCCCAAATACATATACTATAAAGTGATTTAAATAAAATATGCTGTATATGACCGTATGTCTTCTTTCATATGTTACTATTGCTTGACATCACAATTGAATTTGCATACATCAGTTCAAATTTAAGCAATTTCTTGAGATAAAAATGACATCTGCTTAGGCCTGAGAAGTTGGAAATTTATTTTCTTTTACCATGAAATAGCCATTCGTTAAAACAAAGTAACATCAATGATATAAAATAATTTTTTAATGATATTATACTTTATATTTTTTCAGATAGTGAGTGAAGTGAAGTGTATAGCAGTATCTAAGTTTTGTATGAATAATATTGTAGATGGAGGTCGTTTACGTCACGACCATGAAACACTTGGATTAAGATCACCAAGTAAGTTATACTTTTATGGATGTAATCAAAGATAACCTGGTTTGAATAAGTTTGTAGTCTTGTAAAGAAAATCTAAATAATTAAAAACATGGAATTCAGGAACATTTCAGAATAAATTATGATCAAATTTTATAGAAAGATCTTTTGGTGAAAAAAGTTGTTTGTTTTCAAATTATTGTGATTTCCATATGTTTTGTCATATGCTATATTGTGATTTATATCATTTTGTTTCCCTTTTCATTATAGTATATGAGAACATGACTCTGACTGAAGCCAACATTACCAAGGGCAGTAACTTAGTATTAGAATCGGGACCAGCCCCCAGTACTAACCAGGTAACACTGTAAATAAATGAACTGCTAGGTACATTGTTTAATCTTATAATAGATAGACACTTTTCCAAGTTTGAATAGCATCATTTGTTGGTCTAGTGTATTGTTGTCCAACTTTAATTTGATTGTTGAATAAATGTTAAATGAACATTGGCAGATTTTACATGATATTATACATTTTTGTCGAGCCTTCGACTTTTGTCGAAAAAGCGAGACATGGCGATCCTACATTCCGTCAGCGGCGGAAGCATCCACAAATATTCACTCTGTGGTTAAAGTTTTTGAAATTTTAATAACTTTCTTAAACTATCCTGGATTTCTACCAAACTAGGACAGAAGCTTGTTTATGATCATAAGATAGTATCCAGAAGTAAATTTTGTAAAAAAAAAATTCCATTTTTTCCGTAATTTACCTCTAAATGGACTTATTTTTTCTGCCAGGCAACATTACATTCACTCTGTGGTTAAAGTTTTTAAAATTTTAATAACTTTCTTAAACTATCCTGGATTTCTACCAAACTATGACAGAAGCTTGTTTATGATCATAAGATAGTATCCAGAAGAAAATTTTGTAAAAAAAAAATTCCATTTTTTCTGTATTTTACTTATAAATGGACTTAGTTTTTCTGCCAGGAAACATTACATTCACTCTGTGGTTAAAGTTTTTAAAATTTTAATAACTTTCTTAAACTATCCTGGATTTGTACCAAACTTGGACAGAAGCTTGTTTATGATCAAAAGCTAGTATCTAGAAGGAAATTTTGTTCCTGTTTTTCCGTATTTTACTTATAAATGGACTTAGTTTTTCTTCCAGTTAACATTACATACAGTCTGCAGTTAAAGTTTTTAAAACATTTATTAGATTCATAAACTATCCTGGATTTTTACTAAACTTGGACAGAAGCTTCTTACAATCAAAAGATAGTATCAAGAGGAATATTTTTATATTTTTTTTTCCTCTTTTTTGTTGAGCCTGCGATTAACAGCAAAAATAGGCGAGACACTGGGTTCCGTGGAACCCTTACGAATTTTATATATAGGATGAGATCACATTAAGGTATTATAATCTTAGACCAACTTGCTCATTCAGACTTTGAACTGTAATTTACAAGCTGGCAGTCTGAAGGAAAACAAATAATATTGACCTTGAGTCTACAAACCATTGCTCTTTCTCATTCCTGCCAAAGGTCAGTGGTTTTCTTTTAGTACTCCGGCTTCCTCCCAGATAAAAACTTGCTACCAGTATGTAGCCAAGGTCGCTGGAAGTGGCATTAATCACCAAAAAACAAAAGAACAAACAGTCTTTCGTCTAAATGGCCAGTAATTAGCAGAGAAGAAACAGTACCAATACTTTGTATTCCCCTCCATGGACCAAATGACATAGATGCTAGCAACTATAGGTCACCGTAAGACCTTCAACTAAAGCTACTATAAATATCTAATACATTTAAAAAACAAACCTAATCAGGATGTGTTACATTCTACCATCTATTTCATGTGTTGATTTCTTAGATTTTAGAGGTTTTCCATTAGCCTAAAAGTGACTTTTGCATGAATTTTAAACCAAGAGTTCAAGTGGTGGGTTGAAGTCATCACTTCGTAAATTTTACGGAAGTCATCACTTCGTAAATTTTTACGGACGCCATCACAAGTTGGTTGACCTTTATGGAATATCCATTTCACAGATGATAACAGATATGTTCCAATTGTCGTAACTACAATCTCATCACCTTTTCACTGAATGTGACCTACCGAATTAGACTTATCACCGGATTAGCTTACCCTTCCGGAGCACCTGAGATCACCCCCAGCTTTTGGTGGGGTTTGTGTTTGGTTTTCTATGTTGTGTTTTATTTACGGTTGTTTATCTGTTAGTCTTTTTCTTTTTTAGCCATGGCGTTGCCAATATAAAAAAGAAGATGTGGTATGATTACCAATGAGACAACTCTTCACAAGAGACCAAATGACACGAAATTAACAACTATAGGTCACCGTACGGCTTTCAACAATGAGCAAAGCCCATACTGCATAGTCAGCTATAAAAGGCCCCGAAATGACAAATGTAAAACAATTCAAACGAGAAAACTAACAGCCTGATTTATGTACAAAAAAATGAACGAAAAACAAATATGTAACACATCAACAAACGACAACACTGAATTACAGGCTCCTGACTTGGGACAGGCACATACAAACAGAATGTGGCGGGGTTAAACATGTTAGCGGGATCCCAACCCTCCCCCTAACCTGGGACAGTGGTGTTACGGTACAACATAAGAACAAACTATAAAAATCAGTTGAAAAAGGCTTAACTCATCAGATGAATACAAATAGAAATACATCTAACAAAAACACAGAGTGTGCAGTTTGTTTTTCGACTTATGAGTTTGAATGTGCCTTTGGTATCTTTTGCCTCTCTTTTAAAGGGTAAACCTAACCAAACTTCAAAATTATTTTCAGTAGTAGTGTTTCACCATTTTTGAGATTTACTTTTGATGTTGATTTTTAGTATTTATTTTAGTCAAATATGAATTTTTGCATATGTAGTACTCTAAAGCAAATGTAATTGCGCTAAGTGAAGATATGCACTTCACACACTTTTTCTGCTTTGAGTTCAATGTCAGAGGTTTCCATAGTCATAAAATGAACTTTGGTCAGGTCACCCCGATAAGTAAAATTGAATAGCAAGTAACACACCACATATAGGTATATGTATAAAAATGCACATGTATTCCATATGTACAAGTATTGGTGGAGAGTGTGGAGCTTTAAATGCTGGCACTGTTTTAGAAGCAATCACCTGAGCCAGTGTAGGGAGTGATTTATGATGTCTGCCCTTACATGTGATATATAAATAATGTTTTAATAAAATACATGTATTGTTTAATTAATGTAACTGGAAGAAATTGAATATTATGTAGCATATATAAAATATTATTATTGAGAATAAAAAAATGGTGAAATACTAACATTAATATATTTTTAACATTTCTTTAAAACTAATTACAGATGACCTTGACATTTACACCTGGAGACCTCAGAAGTGACCTTTCAGATTTGGAGGTTACTGTTGACAAAATGACAACTGTAGGAGATTGTTTACAGTGTATGATTCTCAAGGCAGGGTTTACAGGTAATGCTAGATAAATGTCCATGATTTACCCTGGGTACACACACACATCAAGGCAGGGTTTACAGGTAATGCTAGATAACTGTCCATGGTTTACCCTGGGTACACACACACATCAAGGCAGGGTTTACAGGTAATGTTAGATAAATGTCCATAGTTTACCCTGAGTACACACACACATGCAAAAAATTAAAGTCAGGTAATTAGTCTAAACAACTTGAATCAGTCTTAAGGAAGGTTAAACACATAGCTACAATTTAACTACACATTGATACACAATATTAGGTCAATGTCAGAAAAATATCCACTTTTTTCGTATAAAGCCTAGAAACGGGAGAAAGGCGAGATTAACATTGACCTAATATTGTTATTATACTGCAGATAAAAATGGCTACAATTATAGTTATGAAAATATTAACACAAAAATAAAACAAATTTTCCATCCCTAAACGAACCCTAATTGTAACCAAAAGTGACGTAACAGAAATCTATATTGCACAAAATATCACTTTGTTGCTATATTTGACAGATAAAGACAATAGGAAGTGGTCTTCCTGCAGAATAAATAATATTAAGATATCATAAACAGAACAACACATAAAATTTGCCATTTCAGAATCTATTGAATTCTGGGTAATATTTTCAAAAGCTTGTGATTTGCTTACAAAGTTCTAAACAATGTGATTTCAACCAATGACGTTATTTTGATTTTGGGGTAAGAACAATGAAATTATTCACAATCCCCCAGATTCTGTACTGGTGAATTGACAAAGGTGTTTGGTTTCCTCTTATACAGGGTTTACAAGTAAAATAGTTCACATAAAATTGATCGCTTAACTATGGCTAGCTTAATCTCCACTTCTCCAGCTGCCAATATTTCATACATATTTGGTACAATGTATAAAGAATTGTGATCCTGATAACAGTGTTTGTGAGTTTGCCAGTTTAATGTTGTGGATCATTAATTTTTCAGAGTAACGGTCCTTGAACATAATATTTCATTAAATTTTATGGTTTTCTGTACTATTTTCTTAATCACCTTGGACATTAATTGTGTATATGGTGAGAAATTAAAAGATTGAGCTCACATTTTATTCTGGTCTCATGATTTCTCTAGACCTCACTTTTTAACTTTGAAATTGAAAGAATTTGAGGTTTTTAAAAATGTTTTCAACATATCTTAAAAAGACCTATATCTGTCCTATTAGAGAGAAACAGCTTGTATTTCACTTTCTCATAGTGTTATGGATGTATGATTTAGAAAATTCATGAAATTTAAGGTTTTCACCCTTAATTCTATAATTGTGTTTGTCATGATTTCTTATTAAATTCAGATAAAGTGTTTCAAATGTTTTATTGCTTTTTATGAATTGACAGCCCTTAGACTTCAATAGGTTGAAGAATGTCCATTTTAAGATAATGAGTGGTCATCTTCATATATTACTACAGCTAGAAGGGAGACAATGTATTTCTATTATAAATATTATTAGGACATTTGTTTAACAGATGATGACTGGCATTTACAGAAAACAAATTGGTGTGGGGAACCAGCAGAAGTCCTTGATGACCTAGACTTGACCTTGGAAATGAGTTTAGTTAACCATGGTGACCATTTACTTCTCGTGAAAGGAAAGCTCCCTCCGAAAGTAATTACTATTAAAATAATATACAAATTATATTATAAACATAAATTTCTTTGCACATGGTATCTGATGATTTGTCTACTGTACCTTTACTTTTTATTTTTCACTTTCTGAACTTTGTTATTCAAATATCCCTGAAAATGAATCATATTGCAATGTAGAATTATTGTTTGAGTATTTTGTTTTTTATACGACCGCAAAAATACTTTTGTGGTCGTATATTGGTATGACGTTGGCGTCGTCCTCGTCCTCATCCGGCGTCGTTGTCGTCTTCCGAAGACACATTAGTTTTCGCACTCTAACTTTAGTTTAAGTGAATGGATCTTAATGAAATTTTACCATAAGGTTAAATACCACAAAAGGAAGGTGGGGATTGATTTTGGGGGTTATGGTACCAACAGTTAAGGAATTAGGGGCCAAAAAGGGGCCAAAAATAAGCATTTTTGTAACTTCCAGACATAACTTGTGTGTAAGTGTATGGATCTCTCTGACATTGTACCACAAGGTTCCATATCACAAAGAGAATGCTGGGATTGATTTTGGGGGTAATTGCCTCCAAATTTTAGGAATTAGGGGCCAAAAAGGGGCAAAAAACAAGCATTTTTCTAGTTTCATGACAATAACTTGTGTGTAAGTGTATGGATCTCTCTGACATTGTATCACAAGGTTCCATATCACAAAGGGAATGCTGGGATTGATTTTGGGGGTAATTGCCTCCAAATTTTAGGAATTAGGGGCCAAAAACGGGCAAAAAACAAGCATTTTTCTAGTTTCATGACAATAACTTGTGTTTAAGTGTATGGATCTTTATGAAATTGTACTACAAGGTTTCATATCACAAAGGGAAAGCTTGAATTGAGTTTGGGGGTAATTGCCCAAAAAGTTTAGGAATAAGGGGCCAAAAAGGGGCCAAAAATAAGCATTTTTCTAGTTTCCAGACAATAACTTGTGTTCAAGTGTATGGATCTCTCTGAAATTGTACTGCAAGGTACCATACCACAAAGGGAAGGCTGGGATTGATTTTGGGGGTAATTCCCTCAAAATTTTAGGAATTAGGGGCCATAAAAGGGCAAAAAAACAAGCATTTTTCTAGTTTCAGGACAATAACTTGTGTGTAAGTGTATGGATCTTTATGAAATTGTACTACAAGGTTCCATATCACAAAGGGAAAGCTGGGTTTGAGTTTGGGGGTAATTGCCCAAAAAGTTTAGGATTAAGGGGCCAAAAATAAGCATTTTTCTAGTTTCCAGACAATAACTTGTGTTCAAGTGTATGGATCTCTCTGAAATTGTACTGCAAGGTACCATACCACAAAGGGAAGGCTGGGATTAATTTTGGGGGTAATTCCCTCAAAATTTTAGGAATTAGGGGCCATAAAAGGGCAAAAAAACAAGCATTTTTCTAGTTTCAGGACAATAACTTGTGTGTAAGTGTATGTATCTTTATGACATTGTACTGCAAGGTTCCATATCACAAAGGGAAAGCTGGGTTTGAGTTTGGGGGTAATTGCCCTAAACGTTTAGGAATTTGGGACCAAAAAACAAGCATTTTTCTAGTTTCCAGACAATAACTTGTGTTCAAGTGTATGGATCTCTCTGAAATTGTACTGCAAGGTACCATACCACAAAGGGAAGGCTGGGATTGAGTTTGGGGGTGGTGAATCATAAGGGGGTTCAAAAAATTTGGGGGGGATTTTTTTTTCTTTAAAATTTTCCATTTTAAATTGGTTATTTCTGATATCTGATTTATATATAAAAGCAAATAATAATGATATGGTTTGAATAGGTAAATTAAAAATTTTTAAGTTCTTTCATTCTGTGTCAGAAACCTATGCTGTGTCAAATATTTAATTACAATCCAAATTCAGTGCTGTATCAAGCTTGAATGTTGTGTCCATACTTGCCCCAACTGTTCAGGGTTCGACCTCTGCGGTCGTATCAAGCTGCACCCCAGCGGAGCATTTTATTTTACTAGTCACTATTGAATTGAGTATTACAGACATCTACCCTTATTTCTGTTTGGAAGTATTTGGTTATTGATTGGTTTTCAAAGTTTCTAGACAGTTAAGTATGCTCAGTAACTGACATGTTTGAAAAACAATTTATTTGATGAAATAAAGGCACACATCAGTTGCAAGACATTTCTAAAGAGTTCAGTGTCCTACATTTTTACAGGGTTTTGTACGAATTCCAATCTGGCTGTATCCATCACCAAGGAAACCATTTTGTGATTCAGCTAACAATACAGGAAATGGAATGTTTAGTTGGTTAACCAATCAGATACAAGGTATTGAATTATATGCATGGTATTAACCAATCAGAAATATATGATAAGGTCAATAAAGTTCCCATAACTTATTCGTCTGTCATCTTTCTTAGTGTTCTCAGCTGTGTTTATATCAAACCAATTTTCTCTCTTTTGGCACTTTGGTATTCCACTTTTTCATTACACACCACATGAAACCCAAACAATATGGGAAAAGGTAACATTTTTTACCTACACAATATATGAAAAAGTATACATTTTTAAAATCTAAATTATAAGAAAAGGGTGGGGTAACAGAACCCCAGCGGCACCCCCTATCAATTAAGTATTGAAGTGCCCCCCCCCCAAGGTGTTTACTGACAGCACAATCCTGTACATCAGTCTTAATTTATTTGAATCATTATAATTCTGCTACTGTTACTTAATGAAGAAAATTTTTGCTATAAGTTAAGTGTGGGGAAAAAATCCTGAATTAATGGACTGGTTTAAACCATGTCATACATTTATGATGACATATCAAAATGATGAATGAAGACCTGAACCACCATCAAAAATGATATCCACCTTTATTGTCCCCCCTCGCAACAAAACATTTCGTTTTTGGCTAGAAGATTAACACAAAGTGATCAATGTGTTTTAAATAGAATCCGTGTTTTACTTACTAATAATGGCCTTGACCTTTGAAATATAACCTTGTCCTCAATATAAGCTGATATTATTTTGTGTATCATAACATAGTCAACATTTTTTAAAGTCTGTTGTTGATAATATAAGAATATTATTCTCCAAAATAGGACCACATAATGGCATACAACAAAAGCAATATAATTGGTAACATTTGCATAACAATATATATATGAAAAGAGATTTCATAGTTGATCTTTGACAACACTAATATATTTACAGGCTTGTTCAGATCAGACAGTAAATCTCAGGATACCAGTACAACATCAGAAGAACCATTATACTTAGGTGATATAGAAGTTGCCTTGGTGATGACTTTAGAAGAGTTTAAATTCCAGATACTGACCTTACCATCATTGTCAGGTTTATCATTACCAACACATGGGTTTCTAAGAGTTACAATGGTAGAATCTGGGTACCTGTCTACAGTATTAAAAGGAACCAGTCAGACATTACAGTAAGTTTTACATAATCCATTTGTAGGATAAACTTATGATTCTAAGTGGTAGAATTCTCTCAGTTCAGTATTTGGTGTAAAAAATAAATCTCTATGCCAAAAATCATGCTTTCGATGTTGCTGTTTACTGAAACTAGCAAATATATTTACATGAATGTAACTTTTTCTGATTGATAAATATATTTTTATCATTTTGATCACATGTTTACTTGTACAAGAACTTGCAATACAATTTTAGGGTAGATGTGCTAAATAGTATGATAATTAAGATTATTAGAAAACCAACAGGCTACTTTTAGCAGTAGGGAACTTCTGAAACATCAAGTGTCACTACAAGACTAAACATTGGTTGAAAATTGGCATGTAGAAAATCAATATATGTATAATAAAGGATATATATGGTTTTTATGAAGTTTAACTTAAGGTAAAAGATTTAGAGAGCTGTGAAAAATTTGGTTGAATATATAGGGATTTTGAATTTAAGGGCATACAATATAGTTACAGTGGAGGTCATTACGTTAACATAATGTTATTTTTCGCGACGTCAAACTGAGACATATGGGGAAAAGATGCATTTTTTCAACTGATTTTAATTATTAGCTTGAAAATGAGTACATGTACCCCTCTTTTTAAAAATTTCATTTGGCTTGATTATGTTTGAAGATTATTTGTTTCAATTTTTATGAATAAATCACAGATGAATTTTTTTGAAATAAAGAATAAGATAATTATGCAGCACAAAAAGCAGGTTTTTCCTAAAATCATTACAATTTAATAAAAAATGAATTATTTCTAAAGAGTTGTTACACAAGCTTAGATCATACTTATTTAAAGAAGATATTCATGATATTTTTCCAAAAATCCGTTTGTCTTTATCTTTTGAAATAAAAAAGTTAAGTTTGTCTGTCCAAAGGATAGAAATGTCCAAGAAACGGAAATTTTGAGTAAATTTCTAAAATTTCCACCCCATTTATCTCTGAAGGTAGCTTATGAAATTATGATGGTATATTTTTTATTACATATATGAAATGACTAGGTGAAAAATAGCTTGTATGGAAATTTTCGTAAAAATATCACTGTGGGATCAAAACTGTATTGTATGCCCTTAAAAGACATTAGTAAATATAAAGTTTAAAAGTGTTTTACATCCAAGATTTATGGAGGAATGTTTATTTATTATAGGAAGCTTAAAGTCAAGTCTTGTAATAAATTGGCAGTACAGATACTTGATGAAGAGGAAAATTTGAAGTAAGATGTAATTACAAAACTGACAGTTCTATTTCACCAATGAATTTATATTGACCTCATTTTAAAGCTTGTTGAAAAAGATATAGTTCCTAGCATTTTAAACTGTATTCATATCAAATATAAATGTTATAGAAGACGAAGTCCTCATAACAAGAAGACAATCATTAAAAAGAAATATCAATAAAAAATCAATATACTAGTGAATTCAAAATCATTTAACATTTTTTTCAACATTTGCACATTACCCTGATTGATGTCAGCTACCATACCTGCAACTTTGTGTATATCTGATTACCAAAAAGTTTCATGAAAATAAAACAGACTTTGTCCTCTTTCATAGGTTATACCTGCCTTATATTAAAAAGAATAACTAATCCAAAAATTCAAATATAAAAAAAAATTTCAACTTGTGACAGAACAACAGTGATATTTCACTCATGCTCGGCTGTTGTCTGCTCTATGGTCGGGTTGTTGTCTCTTTGACACATTCCCCATTTCCATTCTCAATTTTATACTATACACATTTGTGTCAGTTTCCATTGCATATTGAATATTTATAGATGATCAAATTTTAGGAGCAGATTTTTATAGATAATATTTTACTTGAAATATTTGCATTAAAAACAAGTAAAGCAGCTATATTTTTATAATTCCAGTGTAAACCAGATGGTTTTATACATTAAGCAGAGAATTCCTAATACAAGAGAATACCTTCCATCTGTAGAAATAATCTGGGACACATCACAAGGACCAACTATAAATAGCCTACAGAAAACCATAGCAGATAGACTATTTATACCACCAGAACATCTAGGCATGGCTAAGCATTTCTCAAAAAGATTTGATTGGTTGATTATAAGGGAGTGTCCAAATAAGGTTAGTAATAGACTAGGGAGAATTTAGAGCTTGAAATATTGTATAAACACCTATCTTTTGATGAATACTGTATGTTGCTATCTAGATGTCTTTTGGTTATTTTTATCATTGGGTTGCTGTCTATTTGGTGTATAACCCACATCTCCTTTTATTCATAGTTCTTCAGTTTAAATATTGTACTCAGAAGGCTAATCTGGTTAAGAAGAAGATTGATTTGATAAGTATGAAATATGGAGACAAGGGTTGAAAGTCAGTAAAAACACAGAGATCCTAATACAACCTTCAATAGTGGACACAAGACAAGGGTTGAATGTTAGTAAAAACACAGAGATCCTAATACAATCTTCAATAGTGGACACAAGACAAGGGTTGAAGTCAGTATAACACAGAGATCCTAATACAACCTTCAATAGTGGACACTAGACAAGGGTTGAATGTCAGTAAAACACAGAGATCCTAATACAACCTTCAATAGTGGACACTAGACAAGGGTTGAACGTTAGTAAAAACACAGAGATCCTAATACAACCGTCAATAGTGAACACTTAACTAATACAACCTTCAATAGTGGACACACAACTAATACAACCTTCAATAGTGAACACACAACTAATACAACCTTCAATAGTGGACACACAAATAATACAACCTTCAATAATTGACACACAACTAATACAACCTTCAATAATTGACACACAACTAATACAACTTTCAATAATTGACACACAACTAATACAACCTTCAATAGTGGACACACAACTAGAACAACCTTCAATAATTGACACACAACTAATACAACCTTCAATAATTGACACACAACTAATACAACCTTCAATAGTGGACACACAACTAATACAACCTTCAATAGTGGACACACAACTAATACAACCTTCAATAATTGACACACAACTAATACAACCTTCAATAATTGACACACAACTAATACAACCTTCAATAATTGACACACAACTAATACAACCTTCAATAGTGGACACACAACTAATACAACCTTCAATAGTGGACACACAACTAATACAACCTTCAATAATTGACACACAACTAATACAACCTTCAATAATTGACACACAACTAATACAACCTTCAATAGTGGACACACAACTAATACAACCTTCAATAATTGACACACAACTAATACAACCTTCAATAATTGACACACAACTAATACAACCTTCAATAATTTACACACAACTAGTACAACCTTCAATAAACTAATTCATTTGGCTCTTTCTGAATGAAAGTCTCCTTAAACCCTGATGATTAACTCAGATAGAAACTGATGATCTGACATCAACATTCTATTCCTATGAGATAAGCAATCTAACTAACAAAAAAGTGGCAACATACACTCACAGGATTCCTGTGACATATAAATGAGTATGGTGGGGTTCTTGGAATTTTGTTTTTATGCCCCCGCCGTAGCGGAGGGGGCATTAAGTTTTACCCTTGTCCGTCTGTACGTACGTCCCAAAATTGGTTTCCGTTCTCTAACTTTAGTTTGTCTCAACCGAATGTTATGAAACTTATACACAATGCTTATTACCACAAAACACAATTTTAGTTTGAATTTTGGTGGCGTCACTTTTACCATTCTAGAGTTATGCCCCTTTACAAATGGAAAATTTGCTGAATTTTTCGTTTCCGTTCTCTAACTTTAGTTTGCCTCAACCAAATGTTATGAAACTTATACACAATGCTTATTATCACAAAACACAGATCAAGTTTGAATATTGGTGGCGTCACTTTAACTGTTCTAGAGTTATGCCCCTTTAGAAATGGAAAAATTGCTAAATTTTTATTTTCTTCTAAATATCAAGTTTTTTTTAAAATTGGAGTTATCTTTCTTTTTCCATGATTATAGTTGAATCAACTACAATCAATGCTTTATACAATGCAATGTTTAATTTTGACTTCCACTGATAAAACACAGATCAAGTTGAATTTGGGTAGTGTCACTTTAACCATTATTGAGTTATGCCCCTTAATAAATCGAAAGATTGCAAAATTTTTAGTTTCCATTCTGTAACTTAAGTTTGCCCCAACCAAACATTATGAAACCTATACACAATATTCATTACCACAAAACTAAGATCAAGAACAAATTTTTTGTTTCCGTTTTCTAACTTGAGTTTGCCTCAACCAAATGTTATGAAACTTATACACAATGCTTATTACTACATAATACAGATTAAGTACGAAATTTGGTGGCAACACTTTTACCATTCTTGAGTTATGTCCCTTTATAAACATAAAAATTGCTGAATTTTTCGTTTCCGTTCTCTAACTTTAGTTTGTCTCAACCAAATGTTATAAAACTTATATACAACTGTTCTAGAGTTATGCGTGTTTACAAATAGAAAAATTGCTGAATTTTTAGTTTCTGTTCTCTACTTAAGTTAGCCTCAACCAAATGTTATGAGACTTACACACAGTGCTTATTACCACAAAACTCAGATCAAGTTCAAATTTGGGTAGCGTCACTTTTACCGTTCTTCAGTTATGTCCCTTTATAACTATATGATATGCAAGCAGGGGCATCATCTGTGTCCACATGTGGACACTATCCACATTTATTTATAGATAACTCAAAATAGATCATCTGCATCAATGATTTTTACACCATATAAACTATTTCCTAAATGTAAAGAAGTAATATAATTGTATAATTTTGAGGTATTGGGTACTGAACAACACTCTAGAGTGGAAAATAATATGGAACAAACACAAAATTTAATCATAACTTCGAAAGAAATGGGTATGGAATATATGTACATAAGACAAAACTATCCTGAAATAATTTGTTTATCTAATGAACTGCACTATTATTGCCCATCTTTATTTTGAAAGGACTATGCAGTTCCTCAATAATGTAAAATGTCTACACCTGACAGTGATGTCTTGTGTGTGATAGACTTAATGGGCGCCCGCCAAACATGTTTAACCCCGCCACATTCTGTATGTGCCTGTCCCAAGTCAGAAGCCTGTAATTCAGTGGTTGTCGTTTGTTGCTGTATATCATATTTGTTTTTCGTTCATTATTTTGTACATAAATCAGGCTGTTAGTTTTTTCGTTTGAATAGTTTTACATTTGTCATTTCAGGGCCTTTTATAGCTGACTATGAGGTATGGGCTTTGCTCATTGTTGAAGGCCGTACAGTGACCTATAGTTTTGAATTTCTATGTCATTATGTCTCTTGTGGAGAGTTGTCTCATTGGCAATCATACCACATCTTCTTATTTTAAATTAAGGATATTAGCTGCTTACATTTTCTACTTTTCCTTATGTTTTGTAACCTCTTGATTATATTCCTAGGCAATGCGTACAAAAGTTTGCCCAGCAACCACTATTTTACTGAATACTTTTTATACATATACCTCAAAAACACTTATGATAATTTACATTAAAATTCTTGTTATATCTGTTACATTATTATTTATATTTTTTCTCATCATTTTCATATGAAAAATCCAGAAAGATGATTTTCCTGTCAAATACTCCAGTTTTGCAAAAGATCATATCTCCAAAACAACTCCATAGACCTATCCTTTCCCCCCATAATTTTGACATTGTCTATATTTGCTATTGAAAAGGACCAATTAATGAAAATGTTGTTATTTTGAATTCCAGCAGCTAAATCCATAAGTGGTATTATTTATTTTTTGAAGAAACATGTGAAAAATCTCAATTTTGTTGGATAAGTTTTAGTTTTGTATAGAAATATAATAAATAACCGGTCAGTTTTGAAGATTTGTTTTATTTTGTTAACATTTTATAGTATTGATGTGTGAAAAAAATTAAATTTTTAATGAGTAAATTGATGAACATATTATTTTTATTTTTCTAGTCAGGTGGTAAAGGCAAGAAGAAAGTACAGAAAACTAACCTACGACACAGTCCTTATAATCTACAAGATGGTGATATTATAGGCATTAAGGTAAACTAACCTACGACACGGTCCTTATAATCTACAACATGGTGATATTATAGGTATTAAGGTAAACTAACCTACGACACAGTCCTTATAATCTACAACATGGTCATATTATAGGCATTGAGGTAAACTAACCTATGACACGGTCCTTATAATCTACAACATGGTCATATTATAGGCATTGAGGTAAACTAACCTACGACACAGTCCTTATAATCTACAAGATGGTGATATTATAGGCATTAAGGTAAACTAACCTACGACACAGTCCTTATAATCTACAAGATGGTGATATTATAGGCATTAAGGTAAACTAACCTACGACACAGTCCTTATAATCTACAACATGGTCATATTATAGGTATTAAGGTAAACTAACCTACAACACAGTCCTTATAATCTACGAGATGGTGATATTATAGGTATTAAGGTAAACTAACCTACGACACGGTTTTATAATCTACAAGATGGTGATATTATAGGTATTAAGGTAAACTAACCTACGACACAGTCCTTATAATCTACAAGAGGGTGATATTATAGGTATTAAGGTAAACTAACCTACGACACAGTTTTATAATCTACAAGATGGTGATATTATAGGCATTAAGGTAAACTAACCTACGACACAGTCCTTATAATCTACAAGAGGGTGATATTATAGGCATTAAGGTAAACTAACCTACGACACGGTCCTTATAATCTACAAGATGGTGATATTATAGGCATCAAGGTAAACTAACCTACGACACGGTCCTTATAATCTACAACATGGTGATATTATAGGCATTAAGGTACACTAACCTAAGACACGGTCCTTATAATCTACAAGATGGTGATATTATAGGCATCAAGGTAAACTAACCTACGACACGGTCCTTATAATCTACAACATGGTGATATTATAGGCATTAAGGTACACTAACCTAAGACATGGTCCTTATAATCTACAACATGGTGATATTATAGGCATTAAGGTAAACTAACCTACGACACGGTCCTTATAATCTACAGGATGGTGATATTATAGGCATTAAGGTAAACTAACCTACGACATGGTCCTTATAATCTACAGGATGGTGATATTATAGGCATTAAGGTAAACTAACCTACGACACGGTCCTTATAATCTACAGGATGATGATATTATAGGCATTAAGGTAAACTAACCTTGACAAGGTCCTTATAATCTACAGGATGGTGATATTATAGGCATTAAGGTTAACTAACCTATGACACAGTCCTCATAATCTACAAGATGGTGATATTATAGGCATCAAGGTAAACTAACCTACGACACGGTCCTCATAATCTACAAGATGGTGATATTATAGGCATCAAGGTAAACTAACCTACGACACGGTCCTTATAATCTACAAGATGGTGATATTATAGGCATCAAGGTAAACTAACCTTGACAAGGTCCTTATAATCTACAAGATGGTAATATTATAGGCATTAAGGTAAACTAACCTACGACACGGTCCTTATAACCTACAAGATGGTGATATTATAGGCATTAAGGTTAACTAACCTACGACACGGTCCTTATAATCTACAGGATGGTGATATTATAGGCATTAAGGTAAACTAACCTACAACACGGTCCTTATAATCTACAAGATGGTGATATTATAGGCATTAAGGTAAACTAACCTACGACACGATCCTTATAATCTACAAGATGGTGATATTATAGGCATTAAGGTAAACTAACCTACGACACAGTCCTTATAATCTACAAGATGGTGATATTATAGGCATTAAGGTAAACTAACCTATGACACGGTCCTTATAATCTACAGGATGGTGATATTATAGGCATTAAGGTAAACTAACCTACGACACAGTCCTTATAATCTACAAGATGGTGATATTATAGGCATTAAGGTAAACTAACCTACGACACGGTCCATATAATCTACAGGATGGTGATATTATAGGTATTAAGGTAAACTAACCTACGACACGCTCCTTATAATCTACAGGATGGTGATATTCTAGGTATTAAGGTAAACTAACCTACGACACGGTCCTTATAATCTACAGGATGGTAATATTATAGGTATTAAGGTAAACTAACCTACGACACGGTCCTTATAATCTACAAGATGGTGATATTATAGGTATTAAGGTAAACTAACCTACCACACGGTCCTTATAATCTACAAGATGGTGATGTTATAGGCATTGAGGTAAACTAACCTACCACACGGTCCTTATAATCTACAAGATGGTGATATTATAGGCATCAAGGTAAACTAACCTACCACACGTTCCTTATAATCTACAAGAAGGTGATATTATAGGCATTAAGGTAATCTAACCTACGACACGGTCCTTATAATCTACAAGATGGTGATATTATAGGCATTAAGGTAAACTAACCTACGACACGATCCTTATAATCTACAAGATGGTGATATTATAGGCATTAAGGTAAACTAACCTACGACACAGTCCTTATAATCTACAAGATGGTGATATTAAAGGCATCAAGGTTAACTAACCTACGACACGCTCCTTATAATCTACAAGATGGTGATATTATAGGCATTAAGGTAAACTAACCTACGACACGGTCCTTATAATCTACAAGATGGTGATATTATAGGCATTGAGGTAAACTAACCTACGACACGCTCCTTATAATCTACAAGATGGTGATATTATAGGCATTGAGGTAAACTAACCTACGACACGGTCCTTATAATCTACAAGATGGTGATATTATAGGCATTCAGGTAAACTAACCTACGACACGGTCCTTATAATCTACAAGATGGTGATATTATAGGCATTAAGGTAAACTAACCTACGACACGGTCCTTATAATCTACAAGATGGTGATATTATAGGCATTAAGGTAAACTAACCTACGACACTGTCCTTATAATCTACAGGATGGTGATATTATAGGCATTAAGGTAAACTAACCTACGACACGGTCCTTATAATCTACAAGATGGTGATATTATAGGTATTAAGGTAAACTAACCTACGACACAGTCCTTATAATCTACAAGATGGTGATATTATAGGCATCAAGGTAAACTAACCTACGACACGCTCCTTATAATCTATAAGATGATGATATTATAGGCATTAAGATAAACTGAAACATTAAGTTATGAGTAAACTTGCTGCTCTATATGATAGGTATATGAGTCCTGTAATGGGACAGGAATACTAAATATAGTGTTACACTTTTTTTATATGCAAAAAGGTAAAGTGGATTGTATAAATGCAAGAATCAATGAAAATAATACCCCTCTAAGCAGGAATTGATTTAAGTAGAACTTCCTCAGAATATTTTTTGTTTGAAATATCCAAAAGATAAGGTCTAAGAAAGTTTAAAGCTGGTAAAATAAGAAAGTTCAAGGTTGATAAAACTTTCTTTAAGAATCAGTTGTGTTACTGCCCTGTTTTAATACCCTACCTAGGAAAGCAGATGGGTATTGTTTTGAGGGATAATAACATAATGTCTGTCCTGCTTCTTAATAACAATATAGATATTTTGCTGTAGTTACATTTTGTGATAAGACAACTATATATGATCCTTTCTTTCAGAATTTACAGTTAGATTTTGAAAGGAAAGAAGATTATTGTACAATTGAAGATGACCAAGGCAAGATAGAGTTACAGAAACAGACAGAGGAAAAGAAAAAACAGTAAGCTATGTCAAAATTTCAAATGAACTTAAAATAAAATCTTCAAAAACAGGCAAACATATTTAGACTATGTTCTATATGTCTAACAAAGAATGTTGTAATGAATAAAGTCTATGAAAAGTTAATTCAACTTATAGATAAACTATGGTCACCCTGACTAAAATGTTAATCAGTACATCTCCAACGGATTAAGCATAAAGACGTCATTTGAGAAAAGCATGACCTTGTGCAATACCAAAATATAGTATTGAAAGAATGAAGGACTGTAAGTGTTGATAGATATAAGAAGATGTGGTATGAGTGCCAATGAGACAACTCTCCATCTAAGTCACAATTTGTAAAAGTAAACCATTATTGATACCTGGATAGCAATGTCTAGGTATGTATTTAATAAACAGTTTTACTTAGAACAACTTTACTGGAATATTAGAGTTGACTTTCTCAGTGTCGGTATACTTTTGGACTATGTTGTAGAATTATTGGATTATTAGAGTAGACTTTCTCAGTGTCTGTATACTTTCGTACTATGTTGTAGAATTATTTGATTTTATACGAGAGGTCAATACTCATTGTTTTTAAAATCTTGTGGAAAGACTTTTCAGTATGAAAAGAATGATATATAGTGGATGGATATAAGATAATAATCATTGTGTTTAAATCAATGTTTTATTATTACTCTAAGATGAAAGATTTGTATTTTTATTTCAGGAGAGAAGAAAGAAAAAAATATCAAGATGCCTTAGATAGTACATTGTCTAGGTCCCGGAGACCTGAAGTGTCACTGACTATAAAAGTGGACGACTTTAGATAACTCATAAAAACAGAACAAATATTTGTGCTGTTCTTTACTATAAAGTAGTAATTGCAATATTAAATTATAATACAAGAGGAGTGACTTCTCATACCAACATTGCTGCTTTATGAAAAGTTTTTTGTATTTTTTTTATGTTACTGAACGTTGACTAGAATGTCTTTATTTTTGTACATCATCATTATACCAATCTGATTAAAGGCTTTTTGTAAGGATCTGACTACACTCTGTACTATACTGGGATCATTAGATTTCTTGTAATGATCTGACCACACTCTGTACTATACTGGGATCATTAGATTTCCTGTAATGATCTGACCACACTCTGTACTATACTGGGATCATTAGATTTCTTGTAAGGATCCGACCACACTCTGTACTATACTGGGATCATTAGATTTCTTGTAATGATCTGACCACACTCTGTACTATACTGGGATCATTAGATTTCTTGTAATGATCTGACCACACTCTGTACTATACTGGGATCATTAGATTTCTTGTAATGATGCACCCTTTCAAAAATTTGGGAGCAGACATTTTTTAAATATGCCCCCAAGTGTTGCCCTTGACTGCCCGTCTTTCCATCCGTCCTTCCCTCCCATTTTCGTTTCCGCATTCTAACTTAAGTTTGCCTCATGCAAATTTTATAAAATTATACACAATGCTAAGAACCAAAAGTTGCAGACAGAGTTCGAATTTGGGCAGTGATTCACTTACCGTTCTAGAGTTATGCCCTTTATAACATTTGAGGTTCATAGTCAAACCCAATTTTGAGTTTATCAGTACTTCTGTTGTTACACATTTGTTATATGTCTAAATGATCAATACAGTTTAGTATTTCCTGATATGAGCTAATAACTCATAATGGAAAATCAAATTATAGTACATCATACACATTCACTGTTATACTCTACTACTGGGACATTTTTATTTAACTACATTTTGTATTTTATAAGTATTTCTTATAATAGACTGCAGGTGTTTTTACTCTTATAAGTTGAAGTAAATATGAAAAGTAGAATTTTCATGGTTGTTAGAATTTTGTGATATACATTTTTATAACAAAAAAATTGTTGATTGTTAAATTGTTGAACTGTTTCAATAAAACATTTTAATTGATCATATTTGTTTTCCTAATTTATTTGAAATTATATGTTTATCTGATAATAATAGTGGTCTTCTATCTCCAAGGAATATATTCAAGGTGAATGTATACATACCATTTTTATTCAGAAATTAAGATTAAAACATGGTTTTATGTAACCTGCTACAAAAGTGATGCAAGCAAGACAGTATTATACTGTGGTGAACTGTGCTGTTCCAGTGTGTTCATTATAAACTGTAGGGATCAATGTTGTTCCAATGTGGTCAGTATTATACTGTGGTGAACAGTGTTGTTCCAATGTGGTCAGTATTATACTGGGATAAACAGTGTTGTTCCAATGTGGTCAGTATTATACTGTGGTGAACAGTGTTGTTCCAATGTGGTCAGTATTATACTGTGGTGAACAGTGTTGTTCCAGTGTGGTCAGTATTATACTGGGATGAACAGTGTTGTTCCAATGTGGTCAGTATTATACTGGGATGAACAGTGTTGTTCCAATGTGGTCAGTATTATACTGGGCTGAACAGTGTTGTTCCAGTGTGTTCAGTATTATACTGGGGTAAACAGTGTTGTTCCAATGTGGTCAGTATTATACTGTGGTGAACAGTGTTGTTTCAATGTAGTCAGTTTTATACTGGGGTGAACATTGTTGTTCCAGTGTGTTCAGGATTATACTGGGGTGAACAGGGTTGTTCCAATGTGGTCAGTATTATACTGTGGTGAACAGTGTTGTTCCAATGTGGTCAGTATTATACTGTGGTGAACTGTGTTGTTTCAGTGTGTTCAGTATTATACTGGGATGAACAGTGTTGTTCCAATGTAGTCAGTATTATACTGTGGTGAACAGTGTTGATCCAGTGTGGTCGGTATTATACTGTGGTGAACAGTGTTGTTCCAATGTGGTCAGTATTATACTGTGGTGAACAGTGTTGTTCCAATGTGGTCAGTATTATACTGTGGTGAACTGTGTTGTTTCAGTGTGTTCAGTATTATACTGGGATGAACAGTGTTGTTCCAATGTAGTCAGTATTATACTGTGGTGAACAGTGTTGTTCCAATGTGGTCAGTATTATACTGTAGTGAACTGTGTTGTTCCAATGTGGTCAGTATTATACTGTGGTGAACTGTGTTGTTTCAGTGTGTTCAGTATTATACTGGGATGAACAGTGTTGTTCCAATGTAGTCAGTATTATACTGTGGTGAACAGTGTTTTCCAGTGTGGTCAGTTTTATACTGGGATGAACAGTATTGTTCCAGTGTGGTCAGTTTTGTACTGTGGTGAACGGTGATGTTCCAGTGTTGTTTTGTGCTGTTCCAGTGTGCTCATTATAAACTGTAGGGATCAATGTTGTTTTAATTTGGTCAGTATAATACTGTGATGAACAGTGTTGTTCCAATGTATCAATATTTCACTGTGGTGAACAGTACTGTTCCAGTGTGATTATTATCCTACTGTGGAGAAATGTGCTCTTCCAGTGTGCTCAGTATTATTCTGTGAAGATAAGTGCTGTTCAAATGTGCTCAGTATTATTCTGTGTTGAACAGTGTTGTTCCAGGGTGTTCAGGATTATACTGGGGTGAACAGTGTTGTTCCAATGTGCTCAGTATTACACTATGGTGAATTGTGTTGTTCCGGTATGTTCAGGATTATACCGGGGTGAACAGTGTTGTTCCAGTGTGGTCAGTATTATACTGTGGTGAACAGTGTTTTTCCAATGTGGTCAGTATTATACTATGGTGAACTGTGCTGTTCCAGTGTGTTCAGTATTATACTGTAGGGAACTGTGCTGTTCTAGTGTGTTCAGTATTATACTGTAGGGAACTGTGCTGTTCCAGTGTGTTCATTATTATAATGTGGTGAACAGTGTTCTTATGTGTTCAGTATTATACTGTAGTAAAATGTGCTGTTCTAGTGTGTTCAGTATTATACTGTGGTGAACTGTGTTGTTTTAGTGTGTTAATTATTATACTGTAGTGAACAGTGTTGTTCTAATCTGTTCGGTATTATACTGTAGTGAACTGTGCTGTTGTAGTATATTCAGTATTATACTGTAGTGAACTGTGCTGTTCCAGTGTGGTCAGTATTATACTGTGATGAACAGTGTTGGTTCAGTGTGTTCAGTATTGTACTGTTATGAACAGTGCTGTTCCGGTGTGTTCATTATTACATTATGATGAACAGTGCTGTTCCATTGTTTTCAGTATTATACTGCAATGAACTGTGCTTTTGTAGTGTGTTCAGTATTATACTGTGGTGAACTGTGTTGTCCCAGTGTGTTCATTATTATAATGTAGTGAACAGTGTTGTCCCAGTGTGTTCAGTATTATACTGTATTGAACTGTGCTGTTCCAGTGTTTTCATATTATACTGTGGTGAACAGTGTTGTTCAGATGTGGTTAGTATTATACTGTCGTGAGAACAGTGCTGTTCCAGTATGCTCAGTATTATACTTTGGTGAATGTTCAAATGTGCTCAGTTTTATACTGTGGTGAACGGTGATATTCCAGTGTTGTTTTATACTGTTGTGAACAGTGCTGTTCCAGTGTGCTCATTATAAGTTGTAGGGATCAATGTTGTTTTTATTTGGTCAGTATTATACTGTGATGAACAGTGTTGTTCCAATGTATCAATATTACACTGTGGTGAACAGTACTGTTCCAGTGTGTTCATTATTATACTGTGGAGAAATGTGATCTTCCCGTGTGCTCAGTATTATTCTGTGAAGAACAGTGCTATTCCAGTGTGTTCATTATTATACTGTGGTGAACAATGTTCCAATGTGTTCAGTGTCCCGTAGTTACTTATTTACTTGTAATTTTCGATCTACAATACATAAAATGAACATTAGCTCTGAACGCCATACAATTATTCATTTTCATTGGGATATAATGTTTATCAAACTTATAATAGGCGACGCTAAGATGAGTTTGAAAATTAGTAAGCCAGTGTTCGAACAGAGAAATGCCTCCAAAAAGCAACCATTTACAAGTAAACGTTGCAAGACAATGAAATTGAACAGTTAATTTAGTTGCATGTCCCTTTATCCATTGGTCCCATATTATATATAGATTTATATAAGAATAAAATGTGGTATGATTGCTAATGGGACTACTATTGTTTAATAGCAGTTCTCAGATTATATGATGAAATAAATGTGCACTTTTACTTGTTTTATTGTTGAGTTTTCTCTTTTGCATTTTTCTGTACGTTGCCTCAAAGGTTGAAGCGTGTACATGTATTTGAAATGTATCTTCAAACTGCAGACACACAATAATTTGGAACCCCCAGAACACTGCAGGGCGTTTAAACTCTTTTCCATAGCAGTCTGATTTTTTTTGTGATATGTTTTTGTGTACGTTATGTATACAAAAGATAATGTATAAACCAGATAAGCAGACTTGGAAAAATTAAATTATAAAGTTAAATCCATTTACTTTGAAGTAACAGTATTTCACAGATTGATGGTAATCGGTTTTATTTAGTACTTAAGAAATTTAATCTGCTTAAGAATATCAGTAATTTTAATACCTGCAAATTCCTTTGGGATTAAACATAAAATTAACTTTGAAGTCGGTCTTTTAAAATGATGAGTAATGATTTAAAATCCACATTAGTCCTGTAGTTTATTTGTACTACATGAATTTGTATTTTGTACTTTAAGTTAGTTCTATACGTTAATTATTAGATTGGTAGACAATAGCAGAGTTAGAGGTAAAATTGTTATTTTTTTTAACTTGTATTAGCTTGTTATTTCTAACACAATTTTGATGTTTCATTTTATTATAAACTAAAGAAAGTACATTTTCTATCATTTATCTATTTCAGTCGTAACATTATACTTTACTAATCAAATATGCAATATGTATGCTGCACTAAAAGCTAGATAAACAGTGGTGCTTTTATGCTAAATTGTTTTTTTAAGAAATCTTCGTTATTACCATAGAAAATTTCTTTATATTTGATGTATATCCGTTCGTTCATCCATCTCTCGTTAGTTGAGACACATTTCATACCGGTATGATGATCGTAAAACTTGTGTAGTCTCAATTTCTGTCGTTCCTCATAACCCTGGTGAAAGATGTATGGATTGATTGGTGTTTAACGTCCAGTGGCAAATTTACTTTCAAATCAGTACGAGAACATATTGATGTGATATGCATGTGACACCTACTTTGTGTAGTTGTTAATTTCTGTGTCATTTGGTTTCTTGTAGAGAGTTGTCTCATTGGCAATCATACCACATCTTATTTTTACATTTGTATATAAAAATAGGGAGATGTGGTATGATTGCGAATGAGACAACTATCCACAAAAGTTCAAATGAAGTGGATGTATGCAACTATAGGCAACCGTAAGTACTTTAACCATGAAAATACCCATACCGTAAAGTCGGTTATAAAAGGCCCCGACGTGAAAAAATGAAACAATTCAAATGAGAAAAAAAAACAAATATGACAGACCAACGACAACCACTGAACTACAGGCTCCTGGCTTGCGACAGGCACATCAAGAATGTGGCTGGTTAAACATGTTTGAAGGCGCCAACCATCCCCTGATCTGGGACAGTGGTGTAACGGCACAACACAAGAACAAACTATGCAAACAATAAACGAAAAACAAACATGAGAAACAGCAAAAAACGACAATCACTCGATTACAGGCTCCTGACTTGGGACAGGTACATATAGAATGTGGCGGGGTTAAACATGTTTGAAGGCACCAACCCTTCCCTAACCTGGGACAGTGGCGTAACAGTACAATATAAAAACAAACTATAAAAATCAGTTGAAAGGACTTAACTAATCAGATCGATACAAAGTAGAAAAACATCTAACAAAAACACAGACCGGACGTGGCAGGGTATTTATACATCCCTCACAACAACAAAAAGACACAAAGTGCAGATCTAAGTGTACACGCAGTTACTGACAGCTAGTTCAAAGCAAATAACAGGATGAAAAATTGTGTCCTGCATTTTTTTTTAGTTGTAATCTCGGTCCTGCTTATTTTTTTA